TCATTCCATGTATTCTTTTACAACATACCTAATATGATCCTATATGATTAAACTGTTCCACCATGCAGCGGACTGTGCCAGGGACAGGCGAACTGCTGCTGGTGTCCAGGAAAACATTCAGGACCCGCCCTGCGGACCCTGCGGCTGGGGCTCGGTTTCGGGTTGTGGTGCTGTACTTCCGGGATCTATACAGGATGGGGTCCCCAAGATCGCGTCCAGTTGACATGAATTTTATGGTCTGTATATACAGATATATATATAGACATATTTTTCATAATATATATGTATATATATATATATATCTATATGAGACTACGTCAAAATTTGTGCTGATTAAGTATGCACTGGGGTGTTCATCGGATGTTGGCTGTTGCATGAAACCTGCTGAAACGATGGGGGACTCACAAAAAACGGTACGTTTTTTGATTGCGCATGCTTGTGCGTTTGGTGGTGTGGCATGAGGTTTGCTTAGGCAGGTTGTTTTTTCCAACTTGGATCTACTTCACCATGAATGGGTGTGCCGATGCGGTGGGTTGACTTTACACGACTTTACATTACTTCAGCCACCTATGGGTGGGCTGCTTAAGCGCGGCACCGAGTAGCTCAGATGACGGAAACCATGCATCTATTGGCCAGGAGTGGCTAACTCCATCCAGTATCTCGTTTTGCTGCCTGGCCTAGCGTTGGCACACCGCGGTGCACTATTCGTTCAGTCTCGCACGCATGTGACTTGCAAAGATGGAGCCCGCGCAGAACGATATCCAAAACGCTACCCAAACGACACGCGCAAACAAAGATCGCCAAGGATGAGGATCCAAGTGGACGCGCTTCAAAACTATGCTTCAGCAGAGTTTAAAAAAAAATGTCCAAATATGTAAAAACAGGAAACCCTGTAAAACGATAGGGGACTCACTAACTTGATGACGCACTTGACGTAAACAATAAATTTTGACCGTGGCTCATTTATATATATCTATATATGGCTATATAGATAAATAGAGTGATCTATAGATCTATATATATATATATATTGAAATAACGAAGTAGTTATATAATGGGGTTTATAAGTCAATTTATAACTAGGGCACCATTCTGTGTCCCATCCATATGCCATCCATTCCCCTTAAGGGTGAAACGGTGAAGTTTGACCGATTCGGTGCAGACACTTTTCACCACAACCCAACTGCCTCACTTCAGGACTTAAACAGCCGCAATGTTCGCGTGAGCGAGATTCGCCCGTTGGCATCCAAAACGGCCTGGGGTTATTTCCAAGCCACAAGTTTCTGTTTGGTTGAAACATGGCTATATTAGGCTCAATTCCTATATATACATATACAATTACTAGAAAATCATGTAAATATACCACTCTTAGGGGGAGGAACATCCATAAATCCCGACTCAAATTCCTTCATGAGTTTGCGGGAGGCCATCATGCCAGCGTCCATGGCAAGTGAAAGACAACATATCTCAAAACCAAAGAGCCTTGAAGGGCCTTGATTTGATTTTGATCCCAAGCTACCCTAAAAGTACCCTCGGTATTCAGACATCTAAATTCTTGGATCTTCAAAAACCATTTGGGGGATGATTTTCCCCTTCAAGCTGATGGAGAAATACCAGATCCACACTTTTTCTTTGAAGCCTCAACCTTAGGCGCAGAGCCTCAGAAGATCACAGAGGAGTTCTTGATGAAATGTCTGGATGCGAAGAAAGCTGAGCAGTTGGTGAAGGCGTATCAGGAGCTCTATGTGGCCCATATATATATATATGGATATATAGATAGATAGAGTGTTTATTCAAAGAACGAAATAGTTCTATAATGGGGTTTAGAAATCAATTTATAACTAGGCACCATTCGGTGTCCCATCCATATGCCATCCATTCCTCTTCAGGGTGGAAACGGTGAAGTTTGACCGTTTCGGTGGTGACACTTTTCACCACAACCCAACTGCCTCACTGCAGGACTTAAAAAGCCGCAATGTTCGCGTGAGCGCGATTCGCCCGTTGGCATCCAAAACGGCCTGGGGTTATTTCCAAGCCACAAGTTTCTGTTTGGTTGAAACATGGCTATATTAGGCTCAATTCCTATATATACATATACAATTACTAGAAAATCATGTAAATATACCACTCTTAGGGGGAGGAACATCCATAAATCCCGACTCAAATTCCTTCATGAGTTTGCGGGAGGCCATCATGCCAGCGTCCATGGCAAGTGAAAGACAACATATCTCAAAACCAAAGAGCCTTGAAGGGCCTTGATTTGATTTTGATCCCAAGCTACCCTAAAAGTACCCTCGGTATTCAGACATCTAAATTCTTGGATCTTCAAAAACCATTTGGGGGATGATTTTCCCCTTCAAGCTGATGGAGAAATACCAGATCCACACTTTTTCTTTGAAGCCTCAACCTTAGGCGCAGAGCCTCAGAAGATCACAGAGGAGTTCTTGATGAAATGTCTGGATGCGAAGAAAGCTGAGCAGTTGGTGAAGGCGTATCAGGAGCTCTATGTGGCCCATATATATATATATGGATATATAGATAGATAGAGTGTTTATTCAAAGAACGAAATAGTTCTATAATGGGGTTTAGAAATCAATTTATAACTAGGCACCATTCGGTGTCCCATCCATATGCCATCCATTCCTCTTCAGGGTGGAAACGGTGAAGTTTGACCGTTTCGGTGGTGACACTTTTCACCACAACCCAACTGCCTCACTGCAGGACTTAAAAAGCCGCAATGTTCGCGTGAGCGCGATTCGCCCGTTGGCATCCAAAACGGCCTGGGGTTATTGCCAAGCCACAAGTTTCTGTTTGGTTGAAACATGGCTATATTAATAGGCTCAATTTCCTATACATATACCATTTCTAGAAAATCATGTAAATATACCACTCTTAGGGGGAGGAACATCCATAAATCCCGACTCAAATTCCTTCATGAGTTTGCGGGAGGCCATCCTTGAAGGGCCCTCTAAATTGTTGGATCTTCAAACCATTTGGGAGATGATTTTCCCCTTCAAGCTGATGGAGAAACACCATCTCCACACTTTTTCTTTGAAGCCTCAACCTTAGGCGCAGAGCCTCAGAAGATCACAGAGGAGTTCTTGATGAAATGTCTGGATGCGAAGAAAGCTGAGCAGTTGGTGAAGGCGTATCAGGAGCTCTATGTGGCTCATATATATATATGGCTATATAGATAGATAGAGTGTTTATTTAAAGAAAGAAATAGTTCTATAATGGTGTTTAGAAATCAATTTATAACTAGGCACCATTCGGTGTCCCATCCATATGCCATCCAGTCCTCTTGAGGGTGGAAACGGTGAAGTTTGACCGTTTCGGTGGTGACACTTTTCACCACAACCCAACTGCCTCACTGCAGGACTTAAAAAGCCGCAATGTTCGCGTGAGCGAGATTCGCCCGTTGGCATCCAAAACGGCCTGGGGTTATTGCCAAGCCACAAGTTTCTGTTTGGTTGAAACATGGCTATATTAGGCTCAATTCCTATATATACATATACAATTACTAGAAAATCATGTAAATATACCACTCTTAGGGGGAGGAACATCCATAAATCCCGACTCAAATTCCTTCATGCGTTTGCGGGAGGCCATCCTTGAAGGGCCTTCATTTGATTTTGATCCCAAGCTACCCTAAAAGTACCCTCGGTATTCAGACATCTAAATCTAAATTGTTGGATCTTGAAAAACCATTTGGGAGATGATTTTCCCCTTCAATCTGATGGAGAATCACCATATCCACACTTTTTGTTTGAAGCCTCAGCCTTAGGCGCAGAGCCTCAGAAGATCACAGAGGAGTTCTTGATGAAATGTCTGGATGCGAAGAAAGCTGAGCAGTTGGTGAAGGCGTATCAGGAGCGGCTCCAGCCGCTTTCACCATGATTTAGCCATCTGAGAGTGAAGGAACATTGGGCTGAATACCAATAAGAACTGGATTTAATAAATGTGGTTTATGACAACAGAAATGAGTTGCATGATTTACTAGGTGCTGTCCTGTCTTCTTCTCCCTTTTCCTGTCTTCTTGTGTTTTCTGTCGTCTCTTTGGGCCTGGGTTGTCTTGTGGCTGGTGGTGTGTTGTGTCGTCTCGTCTCTGGTTGTGTTGTCTTGTGTTGTCTTGTTGTCTTGTGATGTCTTGTGTTTCTTGTGGTCTTGGTTGTCGTCCCTTTTGTCGTGTCCCTGTTTGCCGCTGCCCCCTGCCATGTTTCTTTCCGTTCGTGCCTTCTGGATGCTGTTTCTTCTTTTGTCTCTTCTCGTCTTGTCTTGTGTTTGCTGGTCTGGTCTTTTGCCTTGGGTTGTCTTCTGCCTGGTGCTGGGTTGTGTTTGCTCGTCTCTGGCTGGTTTGCCTTGGTGGTTCTCTTCTGTCGTCTTGTGTTGCTTCGTGGTTTTGTTGTTTCCGTGTTTCCTGCTCACCCCTGCCAGGTGCCTACTTCCAGGTGGAGCTCTTCACGGCGCGGCTGCTTGGCTTGGTCTGGTGGGGGGTGGGTCTGGTCCGGTTGGGTGCTCCGTGTGTCTTGTCTTGTCTGGTCTTGTCTTTTGGCTGGGCTCTCTTGTGCCTGGTTGTGGGCTGTTTCCTCTTCTGTCCTGGCTCTGCTGTCTTGTGCCTCGTCTGGCCGTCGCCCCCTTTGTTTCTCGTCCCTGGCAGGTGGCCTCTTCTTCGTTGCTGCTGCATCTGTGTAGCGGCTGGGCTACTTGCCGGGGCTGCGCTGTTGGCATTCGATTTTTTCGCCGGAGGTGAAAAAATATAGTGACGGCAGGCAGATGTCATAGGGAGTTGGAGTGTGAAATAAATTTGACACATCAACCGCACATTTTTGGTGCAACTACTTCCTGCTTCTTCGCAGTGTGTCTGTGACCATATGTGAATTCGCCAGGGTTTCCAACGCAGCGCATTGTGTGAGACCGATACATGCTTCATGCCGCTGCTCGGGGAGTCGAGTTTTTAGTTTTTTAATTTTGCCACATGGCTGTGTGGCAGCCTTCTTGCCATGAAACGGCGTCGCTTGCATGGGAAGCAGCCAGCTTGTCATCTAACAATTGACCAGGACGATGCGGAAGACGTGGATGTGTCAGCCGCCCAGTCACCTCAAGCAGACTGGGCGATGGTGCCCGAGCATGAAATAGATGGTTTGCAGGTGGAACAGGCTGACCCAGATCTTCCAGTACATGAGGACTCAGCCCAAGATGCTTCTGCGCCGTCCCAGCGCTTTGATTTCTTGAGCCCAAGAACTGTCAACACCATAGTGTCTTCGTTGCTGCAAAGCAAGACCGATGAAGAGCTGCATAGCCTTACAGTAGCCCGTGTCCTGCAAGATGCGCTGGCCAAGTCGGCTGGGAAGGTTTCGGAGACCGAGTTGACTGAGAAGCGTGATGACTTCATAGCTGCCTGCATGAAATTGATTCCCAAAGAGCTTGCTCGGCGCTTGGTCACAGCAGTTGCATCCCAAAGCAAGCCGCAGTCAGAAGCAGCTGCACTTCAGCCAGTGGGGATTGATAGTCAGACATACCAGAAAAGCTACTTCGTAACAATTAGCGGCCTGCCTGAGTCCCCAGAGCCTAGCCGAGAGGAGATGCAGAGAACAATGTTGCAAGCTTTCCGCGAAGCTGGTTACAGCAAAGAAACCAAAGTGACCCATCTTGCGATTTTTCGCGAGACGCACAGGCGAGGAGGAGTCCATTTCCACATAGCCACATGTGTGTCGGAGCGCTGCCGATGGCTTCCATGGAAAAAAGCTCTTGCCAAGCACGGCATCGCAGCGCACTTCCAGCATATTCAGATTCAAGGGTGGGCCAAGCATCGGAAGATGCAATACCAATGCATGTTGAGATATTGCTTTGTGCCTACGGCAAAGAAGCCATTGGCATCACTTGACCCAGAACCCCTTTTGTATCACTGCAGTGGACGGCACCCGCCGCTAATAGATGCAATCCAAGGTGAGCTGGATGCAGAAGCTATCACCTTGTCAGTGCAAGAGAAATTCCTTCAGAGAGCAGAGCATGGCAAGCCCGGGGAATCCAGATTTCAGGTGTCTTGCATTTGCTTCGGGGCACTTTTCGCACCAAAGAATGATTGCTAGTTTGGCCTCCAGGGTTCCAACACCAGTCCCCGTGAAAGTTTTGTTCTGCGTTCGCATCAGAGATTATTTTCCCGAACGTTGTGCGACAGGTAGATATTATACATCACCACAAGTACACTACATATAGATGCATAGTACAATGTAGTTCCTTGCACGGATATGGTCTTGACATTAGTCCATGAATAGCGGATTTTGGTTTCGGGTTCACATTGGTATCGTCTTCTGATGTCTCAAGAAGCAAAGACCCAATCCAGCAGCCAAGCTTCCAAAAGCGAGGCTTTGCCAGAGCCAAAGACCAAGGCCCCTGGTGTTTGCTTTTCCTCTGATGGCTGGGGACTGCGGATATGGTTTTGTTTCTAACTGTCCGCAAAAGTTCTGCGAAGCAGCGGGTGGCAGTGAAAGTGCCTTTTGAAGGGAGTGGCCCAGTAAGCCTTGCAAATCAATTGCCTAATCAGCAGCAACTTGTCCTCAGAAGGGGATTTCGTGATGCTAGCTGCATGTTTACAATGCTATGACGACGTTATCCGTGTTAATTTGGTGTGACTTGGTAGGTGATGAATGAATCTCTGCATAAGAGCAGTTGTTGCGCAACATGGATTCCGCGTAAGGTCAACCTGGAGTCAAGGAAAAAGTAGCACAAGAGCATTTTCTATTCGCAAAGAATAGACGTTTGCAGCGAAAGGAATTTTGATCAACCACCTTTTTTTTTTTGAAGAGCACCTGCAGGACTTGCACCTGTGGCCGGTGGTTCGTGCCTTGAACGTCCAGGCAAACGACCCGCTGTTGTTGGCGAAGCTGCTGCAGCATGGACGCCAAACTGGAAACGAACCCCTGCTCACATGGCTCTTCAAGAATTCTGCTTCAGTTCGCCAGAAGGTAGACTTGTGCTGGCAGCTTGAAAACTGCACTCAGCTAATTCGGGATGGAGAGAAAACGGTCTGGCATCGTTTTACGGCTTGCTTGGATGTGCCATGCTGTTGCGGCCGCGCATGGGTGGTAGCAGCCAGGCAAATTGTCGCTAGCAACCGCTTCGAGGAGCGGCAGCTATGCAGCGACATTCGCATAGCACTGCTCCGTGGCCTTCGCAGGAAAGGAGACTTGCTCACCTTCGCTGGCTGGGGGAACGAAGGCAAATCGTTCCTCCTCCGTCCTCTCACAAAGATCTTTCAGAAAGTGTCTCGGGTTTCTACGTGTAACAATTTTTTGTGGGTTCCATGGAAGCCTCGAATCAGCATTTTTGCAGTATAAGATAATGAATGTGTGTACCGACGCACTTATAGTCTTGAATCAGTGCCCCATCCATGTTTATGCACGAAATTGCGATTTCATACCCCCACTTCTGGATTCATAATTGCATTTCTCAGTATTCACAGAGTGCGTACCGACGTAGTCTCCCATCCATTGTTTAATCAAACAGTGGGATTCACATCCCCAGTTATGGATTCATAACCCCATGGACTGCTAACAGAATGTGGGCGCTGACCTGACGCATCTATAGTCGTGAGCCAGTCGCATCCATGTGTCAAACAAACATTGGGATTCATACCCCCAATTATTGATTCATAACCCTATTTACCAGACCCTGTGACTTTCGTGGGGACCATGGTCTCATGTTTGCATTGCAGGTCTTCTACGGACCGGTGAAGGGTTCATGCCCGCTTCTTCATTTGCCAGATGCGCAGATCGTGCTCTTGGACGATTTCCGGCCTGACGGGCAGCTGCTGGACATAGCAACTCTTTTGATGTGGTTTGAAGGTGGTGCGATTACAATTGCACGACCGTTGAACTGCTACCAGACCCACCTCCAGTTCCAGGCAACACAGCCGCATTTTGCGACCTGCTCATTCGCTTCTCTACATGCTGCTCGCGGGAAGGTGACGGATACCGAACTATCCATGCTGCGCAGCAGGATGAAGCTCTATGTCTTCCAAAAGCGGCTCGAGGAGGTGCGAGACATTCCCTGCTGCGTCAACTGCTTCGCCATGTGGATCCTGTCAGCTGGTGGTAACGTGGCAAAATTCTTGGCTAAAGGTTTCCCAGCTGTCGATGGATGACAACAATGTACATGACGAATTGCAAAGCTTGCAGCCTTGTCGCTGCGATGTCCCAGCTGCAGTGACAGTGTGTAGACCTAATTAGAAAACCCGTTTCCGGCCCGGGCAAAGAACCTTTTAGCCTCGCAGCTACGATGTGCCAGCTGCAGTGCTGGTCTGTGTTTCTACCTAATTACTAATTCAAAAGCCAACGGCCAGTGACAAAATTCATCTTGCAGCTGTGATGTGCCACCTGCACTGACGGCACATGTGTTTCTTCCTAATTGAAAGAACCTTTCTGGCCACATGTTGGCCCCCCTGCTTTCTGGCCACATGTTGGCCCCCCCTGCACCCCCCGGAATCAAGGTTGATGAAAATGTCTTGCTGTGAAGACCTGACGCTTTGGAAGTTGGCTGCTGCAGTGATTAACACCAGGAAACAACATTGATCCTGGGGGTGCGGGGGGGAGAGCCGCTGCTTTGACCCTACGTGGGGCCTCGTGCTCTGTGCGCAAAAGGTCTGAATTTGGGGTCGCTAACGGACGCTGATTGCAGCCCTCTTCATTGAGGGCCCTCCTTGTGACAACACAAACCTGCATGATGTGGAGAGATAACCAGCAGTGTTTTTCCACAACAGTGTCATAACACAAACCCACATGATTGGACGGCTCATCATCATTGTTCGGTCTTGCCTGCTCCTCACCGGTCGCCTCTCCTCGATGTTTTTTCCTGGACGCAGCCATATGAATCAAGTCTTGCCGCGCTGACTGCATGCAACAGCAATATAGTTTTTGTTTTTTGCATGAGCCAGACATGAATTTGTATGCTTTCAAATGTTGAGGCCATGCTTTGGCCGCACTCATTAGGTCATCTTCCTTGCTTCCATTCGAATTCAGCTGTATCAGACAGGATTGGTTTGACATGACACGAATGTTTTCAATGAGTCTGCCGACAGATAGTTTGTCTGCGGTCAGTCATGCAGCCGCCCTGTGGTGTGGCCGAAGGCACATCTGATGCCAGGGTGTCAGACTTGAAGGAAGCCTTGGTACAGAATGGCAAAGCACTGAAAGCGGCTTATCGGCAGAATGCCAAAAAACGGAAAAGGTTGCACTGTGCCGGCCTTGGAGTGGCAGCCCGCAAAACTGTGGTAGCTGTTTACATGCTGTCGAATTTTAACATGGATTTGACTCTCCGCGTGGCTTCTGCTTTGACAACGATATCCTATGGCAGCAATGGGTACCCCACGGCAGCTTTGATCCAAGAGATGTTGCTGACGACGCCGCTGCCAGATTTGACCGCTTTGGATGACACAGCTTCACGCAAAGCGCAAGCCTTCCTGGCCGAAGCAGCCACGGAGCAGTGGGTGTATGACTGCAATACGAATCATGGTCAAGCACCTTCTGCGATGGACACGTTTTTGAAGTGGGAGGAGGCCTTCCATGGCCAGAAGCTGGACATGGGTGTGCCAAACAAACGCAGGTCAATAAGTGGGTGCAGCGCTGGCGGGCTCGGTGGGGCGTCCGCCGGAAGGTGCTGAAGCAAGTTGTTAGCAGAGACCCCGCTGTACTGCGCGACAAGGCGCGGGCCAGCCAACTTACAACATTTTGTCTTCTTTTTTTGGGTTGGGTGGCTCCATTTTTGGGGCCGGAATGTGGCACCAAAAATGGGTCCCCCTCATTTTGCATGCCTGCATAAGCCTACTTCATCCCGGTTGGGCGGTCCCATTTTTGGGGCCAGAATCTGGCACCAAAAATAGGCCCCCATTTTCGATCAATTTCTTCCCTCGGAAGTATATTTGGGGACCCTATATATATAATAAGGCTTTGTCTTTCACTTCCTGCAGCGCTCGAGCAGGTCATGACATTTTGGCGGACCATCTGCTATTGCCACAGCAGGTTCGCGGACAGGGAGCTGCTTTTTATAAATCTGGATGAGACTAGCGTCGGCCACACCATGACACCGCCTATTGGATGTGTGGCAAAGCCACGGACAGCAGGTGGCAAACAGCCGCATGCACAGGTGCTGAAGCAACATGTTCGAGGTGCGTGGACTTATGTCAGCGTGATTTGCAACTGCAAGCACATCCAAGGGAAGTTTCCTCATTTTCTCATTGGCACCCAGGTGAAACTCACGAAGAAGCTCTTGCGCGCCCAGCGCGCTTTGCCACAAACTCGTTTGCGTGTTTTGCGGCAAAAGTCCGCTTGGACCTCTGCTGCCAACAGCGCCCAAATTCTCAAAGAGATCGCAGAAGTGCTGAAAAGTTTTCCGTCAAAACAAGGCGTTGTACTCCTTGATTGTGCGCCGGCACACCTGCCACGGCAGGTCATGGCAATGGCACGCAAGTGCAAGCTGCAGCTTGTCTATATACCAGCGCAGGCAACGGATTACCTACAGCCGCTTGATCTGCAAGGCTTCTCCCCTTTTAAACAATATTTGAAAAGGAAGCACCAGGAGTTGCGCTCATATTCAGAGCATGGTTTAGTGCCTCCTCTGGCCTGGCTATGGCAGTGCATGCAAGCCCCACACGAATTTTGGGCAGCTCGGCAATGGCAGAAAAGCTTCGATGCAGTGGGCTGCAATGGCCCAGGTCAAGTGCACAAAGCGCTTCAAGACTTGATGGGTGCAGGGGTGCCTTGGCCTGGGCCTGACAGGCCGACACCCCAGCAGATGCAGTGCGTTTGGCCGCGACGCCAAATGGCGTACGCGTATAAGGCCCTTTTTCTTTGATGCTGCCGCTCAGGGTGGATCCAAAAGATTTGCAGACGTGGGTGGCACTATAGGACAAAGATTTTTTTTTCCATACTATGGGGGTACATGGTACGGGAGTCCCTTTGGCATCACTTTTTAAGCCCCCAGTTTTGGGCCCCCACCGGCCATGTTTTGTCACACTATCTTCCAGTTGTTCAGTTTCAGACAATTGGCATGGAAGCTGTCCAGGCGGCATGGCTTCTGCAGCTAGCACTGCTCACAGCTCGTCGCAGAAAACACAATTTGACTATTTCTATAGCCATGTCGTCTGCCGCCGCTGGTATGGAAAGGGATGCTGCGGAAGGTGCTGCTGTAGCCCATGTGCCCGGGATGGATGACCGTATAGCTGCTTTGAAAGCTGAAAGGCAGGCCTTGAAACGCCAGCTGCAGCAAACCAGTCGAGAAGTCAAGGCCCAGGCTGGTTCAATTTCATCCTTGTGTGCCATGTTTGTGTTGGTGAAGCTGTATTGACATTCCATCGTGCCACTTGCACCTTCATCTTTCCCATCTCAGGTTTTTTTTGGTGAAGCTGCATTGCACCTGCATCGCACCACTTGTACTTTCAATCTTTTTGTTTCAGCTCTGCGCCAGGAGAAAAAACGACGCAGAGTCCTGAAATCGGCGGGCAAACTGAGCACCCAAGACCTCTCGTGGCTCCTGGCCTTCAAAATGACCCGTCAGCAGTAGCAGCTTCTTCAAAACTATATGTCTCACTGAAGCACTTGTGACTGCTGTCTCCCGAGGAGTCAGCAGCAGCTTCCTCAAAACTATATGTCTCACTGAAGCACTTGAGACTGCTGTCTCTAAAGGAGTCAGACAGGAATGTGGTGAAGTCACACGCGGCAGGTTACCTAACGACTGCTGTCTCCCAAGGCATCAAAAACACGTTTTTGCGTGCTTTGGCACCTGTTTTTGCTGTGGCCCCAAAAAACTACTAAGGATACTTCCAACCATTTTCGCAGACTTTGTATTGGCACGGCAGAGTCACAGTTCATGCACTCATGAAAAACTACTAACCCGTGAATTGGAAATCACAATGGCTTGGACGCAAAACTACTAAGGATTTCTGCGAATTGAAAAGAAATAGAAGAAAGTGTTTCCTTTTTTGTCCATTGAACAATTCCTTAGTAGTTTTGCCACCGAGCCAATACAAAGTTTGAAATTCCCCTTAGTAGTTTTCACACAGAAGCATAGTAGTTTTGCGGCAGAGCCAATATAAAGTTGTGCCATCGTGCTTAGTAGTTTCACACCGAAGCATGCTAGTGTTGCAGTGGAGCCAATGCAAAGATTGCCATCGCCATTGATCTTTGTTAGTTTTAGCACACAAACATCACGCGGTTGCTTCCGTGCCGATGGATCACGTGCTTCCAGCTGCTTCCAGCTGCTTTCAGCTGCTTCCAGCTGCTTTCAGCTGCTTCCAGCTGCTTCCAGCTGCTTCCAGCTGCTGGCCCTTCGGCTGCGTGCATGGATCTGTGCTTGGAGGCACGGCTGGCTGTTGTGCTGGCTTTTCTGGCGCGGCTTTGTCGGTCGTGCCTTGTGCCTGCTGTTGGCAGCTATTGAACAGGATTTTTTTTCTGGGGCATGCCGTTCCCTTTGAATCACCGATCTTGAGAGCTGGGTTGGTAGCATATTTATACACTGTATGCACATATTCATTCCATGTATTCTTTTACAACATACCTAATATGATCCTATATGATTAAACTGTTCCACCATGCAGCGGACTGTGCCAGGGACAGGCGAACTGCTGCTGGTGTCCAGGAAAACATTCAGGACCCGCCCTGCGGACCCTGCGGCTGGGGCTCGGTTTCGGGTTGTGGTGCTGTACTTCCGGGATCTATACAGGATGGGGTCCCCAAGATCGCGTCCAGTTGACATGAATTTTATGGTGTGTATATACAGATATATATATAGACATATTTTTCATAATATATATGTATATATATATATATATATCTATATGAGACTACGTCAAAATTTGTGCTGATTAAGTATGCACTGGGGTGTTCATCGGATGTTGGCTGTTGCATGAAACCTGCTGAAACGATGGGGGACTCACAAAAAACGGTACGTTTTTTGATTGCGCATGCTTGTGCGTTTGGTGGTGTGGCATGAGGTTTGCTTAGGCAGGTTGTTTTTTCCAACTTGGATCTACTTCACCATGAATGGGTGTGCCGATGCGGTGGGTTGACTTTACACGACTTTACATTACTTCAGCCACCTATGGGTGGGCTGCTTAAGCGCGGCACCGAGTAGCTCAGATGACGGAAACCATGCATCTATTGGCCAGGAGTGGCTAACTCCATCCAGTATCTCGTTTTGCTGCCTGGCCTAGCGTTGGCACACCGCGGTGCACTATTCGTTCAGTCTCGCACGCATGTGACTTGCAAAGATGGAGCCCGCGCAGAACGATATCCAAAACGCTACCCAAACGACACGCGCAAACAAAGATCGCCAAGGATGAGGATCCAAGTGGACGCGCTTCAAAACTATGCTTCAGCAGAGTTTAAAAAAAAATGTCCAAATATGTAAAAACAGGAAACCCTGTAAAACGATAGGGGACTCACTAACTTGATGACGCACTTGACGTAAACAATAAATTTTGACCGTGGCTCATTTATATATATCTATATATGGCTATATAGATAAATAGAGTGATCTATAGATCTATATATATATATATATTGAAATAACGAAGTAGTTATATAATGGGGTTTATAAGTCAATTTATAACTAGGGCACCATTCTGTGTCCCATCCATATGCCATCCATTCCCCTTAAGGGTGAAACGGTGAAGTTTGACCGATTCGGTGCAGACACTTTTCACCACAACCCAACTGCCTCACTTCAGGACTTAAACAGCCGCAATGTTCGCGTGAGCGAGATTCGCCCGTTGGCATCCAAAACGGCCTGGGGTTATTTCCAAGCCACAAGTTTCTGTTTGGTTGAAACATGGCTATATTAGGCTCAATTCCTATATATACATATACAATTACTAGAAAATCATGTAAATATACCACTCTTAGGGGGAGGAACATCCATAAATCCCGACTCAAATTCCTTCATGAGTTTGCGGGAGGCCATCATGCCAGCGTCCATGGCAAGTGAAAGACAACATATCTCAAAACCAAAGAGCCTTGAAGGGCCTTGATTTGATTTTGATCCCAAGCTACCCTAAAAGTACCCTCGGTATTCAGACATCTAAATTCTTGGATCTTCAAAAACCATTTGGGGGATGATTTTCCCCTTCAAGCTGATGGAGAAATACCAGATCCACACTTTTTCTTTGAAGCCTCAACCTTAGGCGCAGAGCCTCAGAAGATCACAGAGGAGTTCTTGATGAAATGTCTGGATGCGAAGAAAGCTGAGCAGTTGGTGAAGGCATATCAGGAGCTCTATGTGGCCCATATATATATATATATGGATATATAGATAGATAGAGTGTTTATTCAAAGAACGAAATAGTTCTATAATGGGGTTTAGAAATCAATTTATAACTAGGCACCATTCGGTGTCCCATCCATATGCCATCCATTCCTCTTCAGGGTGGAAACGGTGAAGTTTGACCGTTTCGGTGGTGACACTTTTCACCACAACCCAACTGCCTCACTGCAGGACTTAAAAAGCCGCAATGTTCGCGTGAGCGCGATTCGCCCGTTGGCATCCAAAACGGCCTGGGGTTATTGCCAAGCCACAAGTTTCTGTTTGGTTGAAACATGGCTATATTAATAGGCTCAATTCCTATACATATACCATTTCTAGAAAATCATGTAAATATACCACTCTTAGGGGGAGGAACATCCATAAATCCCGACTCAAATTCCTTCATGAGTTTGCGGGAGGCCATCCTTGAAGGGCCCTCTAAATTGTTGGATCTTCAAACCATTTGGGAGATGATTTTCCCCTTCAAGCTGATGGAGAAACACCATATCCACACTTTTTCTTTGAAGCCTCAACCTTAGGCGCAGAGCCTCAGAAGATCACAGAGGAGTTCTTGATGAAATGTCTGGATGCGAAGAAAGCTGAGCAGTTGGTGAAGGCGTATCAGGAGCTCTATGTGGCTCATATATATATATATATGGCTATATAGATAGATAGAGTGTTTATTTAAAGAAAGAAATAGTTCTATAATGGGGTTTAGAAATCAATTTATAACTAGGCACCATTCGGTGTCCCATCCATATGCCATCCAGTCCTCTTGAGGGTGGAAACGGTGAAGTTTGACCGTTTCGGTGGTGACACTTTTCACCACAACCCAACTGCCTCACTGCAGGACTTAAAAAGCCGCAATGTTCGCGTGAGCGAGATTCGCCCGTTGGCATCCAAAACGGCCTGGGGTTATTGCCAAGCCACAAGTTTCTGTTTGGTTGAAACATGGCTATATTAGGCTCAATTCCTATATATACATATACAATTACTAGAAAATCATGTAAATATACCACTCTTAGGGGGAGGAACATCCATAAATCCCGACTCAAATTCCTTCATGCGTTTGCGGGAGGCCATCCTTGAAGGGCCTTCATTTGATTTTGATCCCAAGCTACCCTAAAAGTACCCTCGGTATTCAGACATCTAAATTGTTGGATCTTGAAAAACCATTTGGGAGATGATTTTCCCCTTCAAGCTGATGGAGAATCACCATATCCACACTTTTTGTTTGAAGCCTCAGCCTTAGGCGCAGAGCCTCAGAAGATCACAGAGGAGTTCTTGATGAAATGTCTGGATGCGAAGAAAGCTGAGCAGTTGGTGAAGGCGTATCAGGAGCGGCTCCAGCCGCTTTCACCATGATTTAGCCATCTGAGAGTGAAGGAACATTGGGCTGAATACCAATAAGAACTGGATTTAATAAATGTGGTTTATGACAACAGAAATGAGTTGCATGATTTACTAGGTGCTGTCCTGTCTTCTTCTCCCTTTTCCTGTCTTCTTGTGTTTTCTGTCGTCTCTTTGGGCCTGGGTTGTCTTGTGGCTGGTGGTGTGTTGTGTCGTCTCGTCTCTGGTTGTGTTGTCTTGTGTTGTCTTGTTGTCTTGTGATGTCTTGTGTTTCTTGTGGTCTTGGTTGTCGTCCCTTTTGTCGTGTCCCTGTTTGCCGCTGCCCCCTGCCATGTTTCTTTCCGTTCGTGCCTTCTGGATGCTGTTTCTTCTTTTGTCTCTTCTCGTCTTGTCTTGTGTTTGCTGGTCTGGTCTTTTGCCTTGGGTTGTCTTCTGCCTGGTGCTGGGTTGTGTTTGCTCGTCTCTGGCTGGTTTGCCTTGGTGGTTCTCTTCTGTCGTCTTGTGTTGCTTCGTGGTTTTGTTGTTTCCGTGTTTCCTGCTCACCCCTGCCAGGTGCCTACTTCCAGGTGGAGCTCTTCACGGCGCGGCTGCTTGGCTTGGTCTGGTGGGGGGTGGGTCTGGTCCGGTTGGGTGCTCCGTGTGTCTTGTCTTGTCTGGTCTTGTCTTTTGGCTGGGCTCTCTTGTGCCTGGTTGTGGGCTGTTTCCTCTTCTGTCCTGGCTCTGCTGTCTTGTGCCTCGTCTGGCCGTCGCCCCCTTTGTTTCTCGTCCCTGGCAGGTGGCCTCTTCTTCGTTGCTGCTGCATCTGTGTAGCGGCTGGGCTACTTGCCGGGGCTGCGCTGTTGGCATTCGATTTTTTCGCCGGAGGTGAAAAAATATAGTGACGGCAGGCAGATGTCATAGGGAGTTGGAGTGTGAAATAAATTTGACACATCAACCGCACATTTTTGGTGCAACTACTTCCTGCTTCTTCGCAGTGTGTCTGTGACCATATGTGAATTCGCCAGGGTTTCCAACGCAGCGCATTGTGTGAGACCGATACATGCTTCATGCCGCTGCTCGGGGAGTCGAGTTTTTAGTTTTTTAATTTTGCCACATGGCTGTGTGGCAGCCTTCTTGCCATGAAACGGCGTCGCTTGCATGGGAAGCAGCCAGCTTGTCATCTAACAATTGACCAGGACGATGCGGAAGACGTGGATGTGTCAGCCGCCCAGTCACCTCAAGCAGACTGGGCGATGGTGCCCGAGCATGAAATAGATGGTTTGCAGGTGGAACAGGCTGACCCAGATCTTCCAGTACATGAGGACTCAGCCCAAGATGCTTCTGCGCCGTCCCAGCGCTTTGATTTCTTGAGCCCAAGAACTGTCAACACCATAGTGTCTTCGTTGCTGCAAAGCAAGACCGATGAAGAGCTGCATAGCCTTACAGTAGCCCGTGTCCTGCAAGATGCGCTGGCCAAGTCGGCTGGGAAGGTTTCGGAGACCGAGTTGACTGAGAAGCGTGATGACTTCATAGCTGCCTGCATGAAATTGATTCCCAAAGAGCTTGCTCGGCGCTTGGTCACAGCAGTTGCATCCCAAAGCAAGCCGCAGTCAGAAGCAGCTGCACTTCAGCCAGTGGGGATTGATAGTCAGATATACCAGAAAAGCTACTTCGTAACAATTAGCGGCCTGCCTGAGTCCCCAGAGCCTAGCCGAGAGGAGATGCAGAGAACAATGTTGCAAGCTTTCCGCGAAGCTGGTTACAGCAAAGAAACCAAAGTGACCCATCTTGCGATTTTTCGCGAGACGCACAGGCGAGGAGGAGTCCATTTCCACATAGCCACATGTGTGTCGGAGCGCTGCCGATGGCTTCCATGGAAAAAAGCTCTTGCCAAGCACGGCATCGCAGCGCACTTCCAGCATATTCAGATTCAAGGGTGGGCCAAGCATCGGAAGATGCAATACCAATGCATGTTGAGATATTGCTTTGTGCCTACGGCAAAGAAGCCATTGGCATCACTTGACCCAGAACCCCTTTTGTATCACTGCAGTGGACGGCACCCGCCGCTAATAGATGCAATCCAAGGTGAGCTGGATGCAGAAGCTATCACCTTGTCAGTGCAAGAGAAATTCCTTCAGAGAGCAGAGCATGGCAAGCCCGGGGAATCCAGATTTCAGGTGTCTTGCATTTGCTTCGGGGCACTTTTCGCACCAAAGAATGATTGCTAGTTTGGCCTCCAGGGTTCCAACACCAGTCCCCGTGAAAGTTTTGTTCTGCGTTCGCATCAGAGATTATTTTCCCGAACGTTGTGCGACAGGTAGATATTATACATCACCACAAGTACACTACATATAGATGCATAGTACAATGTAGTTCCTTGCACGGATATGGTCTTGACATTAGTCCATGAATAGTTTTGCGGATTTTGGTTTCGGGTTCACATTGGTATCGTCTTCTGATGTCTCAAGAAGCAAAGACCCAATCCAGCAGCCAAGCTTCCAAAAGCGAGGCTTTGCCAGAGCCAAAGACCAAGGCCCCTGGTGTTTGCTTTTCCTCTGATGGCTGGGGACTGCGGATATGGTTTTGTTTCTAACTGTCCGCAAAAGTTCTGCGAAGCAGCGGGTGGCAGTGAAAGTGCCTTTTGAAGGGAGTGGCCCAGTAAGCCTTGCAAATCAATTGCCTAATCAGCAGCAACTTGTCCTCAGAAGGGGATTTCGTGATGCTAGCTGCATGTTTACAATGCTATGACGACGTTATCCGTGTTAATTTGGTGTGACTTGGTAGGTGATGAATGAATCTGCATAAGAGCAGTTGTTGCGCAACATGGATTCCGCGTAAGGTCAACCTGGAGTCAGGGAAAAAGTAGCACAAGAGCATTTTCTATTCGCAAAGAATAGACGTTTGCAGCGAAAGGAATTTTGATCAACCACCTTTTTTTTTTGAAGAGCACCTGCAGGACTTGCACCTGTGGCCGGTGGTTCGTGCCTTGAACGTCCAGGCAAACGACCCGCTGTTGTTGGCGAAGCTGCTGCAGCATGGACGCCAAACTGGAAACGAACCCCTGCTCACATGGCTCTTCAAGAATTCTGCTTCAGTTCGCCAGAAGGTAGACTTGTGCTGGCAGCTTGAAAACTGCACTCAGCTAATTCGGGATGGAGAGAAAACGGTCTGGCATCGTTTTACGGCTTGCTTGGATGTGCCATGCTGTTGCGGCCGCGCATGGGTGGTAGCAGCCAGGCAAATTGTCGCTAGCAACCGCTTCGAGGAGCGGCAGCTATGCAGCGACATTCGCATAGCACTGCTCCGTGGCCTTCGCAGGAAAGGAGACTTGCTCACCTTCGCTGGCTGGGGGAACGAAGGCAAATCGTTCCTCCTCCGTCCTCTCACAAAGATCTTTCAGAAAGTGTCTCGGGTTTCTACGTGTAACAATTTTTTGTGGGTTCCATGGAAGCCTCGAATCAGCATTTTTGCAGTATAAGATAATGAATGTGTGTACCGACGCACTTATAGTCTTGAATCAGTGCCCCATCCATGTTTATGCACGAAATTGCGATTTCATACCCCCACTTCTGGATTCATAATTGCATTTCTCAGTATTCACAGAGTGCGTACCGACGTAGTCTCCCATCCATTGTTTAATCAAACAGTGGGATTCACATCCCCAGTTATGGATTCATAACCCCATGGACTGCTAACAGAATGTGGGCGCTGACCTGACGCATCTATAGTCGTGAGCCAGTCGCATCCATGTGTCAAACAAACATTGGGATTCATACCCCCAATTATTGATTCATAACCCTATTTACCAGACCCTGTGACTTTCGTGGGGACCATGGTCTCATGTTTGCATTGCAGGTCTTCTACGGACCGGTGAAGGGTTCATGCCCGCTTCTTCATTTGCCAGATGCGCAGATCGTGCTCTTGGACGATTTCCGGCCTGACGGGCAGCTGCTGGACATAGCAACTCTTTTGATGTGGTTTGAAGGTGGTGCGATTACAATTGCACGACCGTTGAACTGCTACCAGACCCACCTCCAGTTCCAGGCAACACAGCCGCATTTTGCGACCTGCTCATTCGCTTCTCTACATGCTGCTCGCGGGAAGGTGACGGATACCGAACTATCCATGCTGCGCAGCAGGATGAAGCTCTATGTCTTCCAAAAGCGGCTCGAGGAGGTGCGAGACATTCCCTGCTGCGTCAACTGCTTCGCCATGTGGATCCTGTCAGCTGGTGGTAACGTGGCAAAATTCTTGGCTAAAGGTTTCCCAGCTGTCGATGGATGACAACAATGTACATGACGAATTGCAAAGCTTGCAGCCTTGTCGCTGCGATGTCCCAGCTGCAGTGACAGTGTGTAGACCTAATTAGAAAACCCGTTTCCGGCCCGGGCAAAGAACCTTTTAGCCTCGCAGCTACGATGTGCCAGCTGCAGTGCTGGTCTGTGTTTCTACCTAATTACTAATTCAAAAGCCAACGGCCAGTGACAAAATTCATCTTGCAGCTGTGATGTGCCACCTGCACTGACGGCACATGTGTTTCTTCCTAATTGAAAGAACCTTTCTGGCCACATGTTGGCCCCCCTGCTTTCTGGCCACATGTTGGCCCCCCCTGCACCCCCCGGAATCAAGGTTGATGAAAATGTCTTGCTGTGAAGACCTGACGCTTTGGAAGTTGGCTGCTGCAGTGATTAACACCAGGAAACAACATTGATCCTGGGGGTGCGGGGGGGAGAGCCGCTGCTTTGACCCTACGTGGGGCCTCGTGCTCTGTGCGCAAAAGGTCTGAATTTGGGGTCGCTAACGGACGCTGATTGCAGCCCTCTTCATTGAGGGCCCTCCTTGTGACAACACAAACCTGCATGATGTGGAGAGATAACCAGCAGTGTTTTTCCACAACAGTGTCATAACACAAACCCACATGATTGGACGGCTCATCATCATTGTTCGGTCTTGCCTGCTCCTCACCGGTCGCCTCTCCTCGATGTTTTTTCCTGGACGCAGCCATATGAATCAAGTCTTGCCGCGCTGACTGCATGCAACAGCAATATAGTTTTTGTTTTTTGCATGAGCCAGACATGAATTTGTATGCTTTCAAATGTTGAGGCCATGCTTTGGCCGCACTCATTAGGTCATCTTCCTTGCTTCCATTCGAATTCAGCTGTATCAGACAGGATTGGTTTGACATGACACGAATGTTTTCAATGAGTCTGCCGACAGATAGTTTGTCTGCGGTCAGTCATGCAGCCGCCCTGTGGTGTGGCCGAAGGCACATCTGATGCCAGGGTGTCAGACTTGAAGGAAGCCTTGGTACAGAATGGCAAAGCACTGAAAGCGGCTTATCGGCAGAATGCCAAAAAACGGAAAAGGTTGCACTGTGCCGGCCTTGGAGTGGCAGCCCGCAAAACTGTGGTAGCTGTTTACATGCTGTCGAATTTTAACATGGATTTGACTCTCCGCGTGGCTTCTGCTTTGACAACGATATCCTATGGCAGCAATGGGTACCCCACGGCAGCTTTGATCCAAGAGATGTTGCTGACGACGCCGCTGCCAGATTTGACCGCTTTGGATGACACAGCTTCACGCAAAGCGCAAGCCTTCCTGGCCGAAGCAGCCACGGAGCAGTGGGTCTATGACTGCAATACGAATCATGGTCAAGCACCTTCTGCGATGGACACGTTTTTGAAGTGGGAGGAGGCCTTCCATGGCCAGAAGCTGGACATGGGTGTGCCAAACAAACGCATGGTCAATAAGTGGGTGCAGCGCTGGCGGGCTCGGTGGGGCGTCCGCCGGAAGGTGCTGAAGCAAGTTGTTAGCAGAGACCCCGCTGTACTGCGCGACAAGGCGCGGGCCAGCCAACTTACAACATTTTGTCTTCTTTTTTTGGGTTGGGTGGCTCCATTTTTGGGGCCGGAATGTGGCACCAAAAATGGGTCCCCCTCATTTTGCATGCCTGCATAAGCCTACTTCATCCCGGTTGGGCGGTCCCATTTTTGGGGCCAGAATCTGGCACCAAAAATAGGCCCCCATTTTCGATCAATTTCTTCCCTCGGAAGTATATTTGGGGACCCTATATATATAATAAGGCTTTGTCTTTCACTTCCTGCAGCGCTCGAGCAGGTCATGACATTTTGGCGGACCATCTGCTATTGCCACAGCAGGTTCGCGGACAGGGAGCTGCTTTTTATAAATCTGGATGAGACTAGCGTCGGCCACACCATGACACCGCCTATTGGATGTGTGGCAAAGCCACGGACAGCAGGTGGCAAACAGCCGCATGCACAGGTGCTGAAGCAACATGTTCGAGGTGCGTGGACTTATGTCAGCGTGATTTGCAACTGCAAGCACATCCAAGGGAAGTTGCCTCATTTTCTCATTGGCACCCAGGTGAAACTCACGAAGAAGCTCTTGCGCGCCCAGCGCGCTTTGCCACAAACTCGTTTGCGTGTTTTGCGGCAAAAGTCCGCTTGGACCTCTGCTGCCAACAGTGCCCAAATTCTCAAAGAGATCGCAGAAGTGCTGAAAAGTTTTCCGTCAAAACAAGGCGTTGTACTCCTTGATTGTGCGCCGGCACACCTGCCACGGCAGGTCATGGCAATGGCACGCAAGTGCAAGCTGCAGCTTGTCTATATACCAGCGCAGGCAACGGATTACCTACAGCCGCTTGATCTGCAAGGCTTCTCCCCTTTTAAACAATATTTGAAAAGGAAGCACCAGGAGTTGCGCTCATATTCAGAGCATGGTTTAGTGCCTCCTCTGGCCTGGCTATGGCAGTGCATGCAAGCCCCACACGAATTTTGGGCAGCTCGGCAATGGCAGAAAAGCTTCGATGCAGTGGGCTGCAATGGCCCAGGTCAAGTGCACAAAGCGCTTCAAGACTTGATGGGTGCAGGGGTGCCTTGGCCTGGGCCTGACAGGCCGACACCCCAGCAGATGCAGTGCGTTTGGCCGCGACGCCAAATGGCGTACGCGTATAAGGCCCTTTTTCTTTGATGCTGCCGCTCAGGGTGGATCCAAAAGATTTGCAGACGTGGGTGGCACTATAGGACAAAGATTTTTTTTTCCATAATACTATGGGGGTACATGGTACGGGAGTCCCTTTGGCATCACTTTTTAAGCCCCCAGTTTTGGGCCCCCACCGGCCATGTTTTGTCACACTATCTTCCAGTTGTTCAGTTTCAGACAATTGGCATGGAAGCTGTCCAGGCGGCATGGCTTCTGCAGCTAGCACTGCTCACAGCTCGTCGCAGAAAACACAATTTGACTATTTCTATAGCCATGTCGTCTGCCGCTGCTGGTATGGAAAGGGATGCTGCGGAAGGTGCTGCTGTAGCCCATGTGCCCGGGATGGATGACCGTATAGCTGCTTTGAAAGCTGAAAGGCAGGCCTTGAAACGCCAGCTGCAGCAAACCAGTCGAGAAGTCAAGGCCCAGGCTGGTTCAATTTCATCCTTGTGTTGACATTCCATCGTGCCACTTGCACCTTCATCTTTCCCATCTCATGTTTTTTTTGGTGAAGCTGCGTTGCACCTGCATCGCACCACTTGTACTTTCAATCTTTTTGTTTCAGCTCTGCGCCAGGAGAAAAAACGACGCAGAGTCCTGAAATCGGCGGGCAAACTGAGCACCCAAGACCTCTCGTGGCTCCTGGCCTTGAAAATGACCCGTCAGCAGTAGCAGCTTCTTCAAAACTATATGTCTCACTGAAGCACTTGTGACTGCTGTCTCCCGAGGAGTCAGCAGCAGCTTCCTTCAAAACTATATGTCTCACTGAAGCACTTGAGACTGCTGTCTCTAAAGGAGTCAGACAGGAATGTGGCACGCGGCAGGTTACCTAACGACTGCTGTCTCCCAAGGCATCAAAGACACGTTTTTGCGTGCTTTGGCACCTGTTTTTGCTGTGGCCCCAAAAAACTACTAAGGATACTTCCAACCATTTTCGCAGACTTTGTATTGGCACGGCAGAGTCACAGTTCATGCACTCATGAAAAACTACTAACCCGTGAATTGGAAATCACAATGGCTTGGACGCAAAACTACTAAGGATTTCTGCGAATTGAAAAGAAATAGAAGAAAGTGTTTCCTTTTTTGTCCATTGAACAATTCCTTAGTAGTTTTGCCACCGAGCCAATACAAAGTTTGAAATTCCCCTTAGTAGTTTTCACACAGAAGCATAGTAGTTTTGCGGCAGAGCCAATATAAAGTTGTGCCATCGTGCTTAGTAGTTTCACACCGAAGCATGCTAGTGTTGCAGTGGAGCCAATGCAAAGATTGCCATCGCCATTGATCTTTGTTAGTTTTAACACACAAACATCACGCGGTTGCTTCCGTGCCGATGGATCACGTGCTTCCAGCTGCTTCCAGCTGCTTTCAGCTGCTTCCAGCTGCTTTCAGCTGCTTCCAGCTGCTTCCAGCTGCTTCCAGCTGCTGGCCCTTCGGCTGCGTGCATGGATCTGTGCTTGGAGGCACGGCTGGCTGTTGTGCTGGCTTTTCTGGCGCGGCTTTGTCGGTCGTGCCTTGTGCCTGCTGTTGGCAGCTATTGAACAGGATTTTTTTTCTGGGGCATGCCGTTCCCTTTGAATCACCGATCTTGAGAGCTGGGTTGGTAGCATATTTATACACTGTATGCACATATTCATTCCATGTATTCTTTTACAACATACCTAATATGATCCTATATGATTAAACTGTTCCACCATGCAGCGGACTGTGCCAGGGACAGGCGAACTGCTGCTGGTGTCCAGGAAAACATTCAGGACCCGCCCTGCGGACCCTGCGGCTGGGGCTCGGTTTCGGGTTGTGGTGCTGTACTTCCGGGATCTATACAGGATGGGGTCCCCAAGATCGCGTCCAGTTGACATGAATTTTATGGTCTGTATATACAGATATATATATAGACATATTTTTCATAATATATATGTATATATATATATATATCTATATGAGACTACGTCAAAATTTGTGCTGATTAAGTATGCACTGGGGTGTTCATCGGATGTTGGCTGTTGCATGAAACCTGCTGAAACGATGGGGGACTCACAAAAAACGGTACGTTTTTTGATTGCGCATGCTTGTGCGTTTGGTGGTGTGGCATGAGGTTTGCTTAGGCAGGTTGTTTTTTCCAACTTGGATCTACTTCACCATGAATGGGTGTGCCGATGCGGTGGGTTGACTTTACACGACTTTACATTACTTCAGCCACCTATGGGTGGGCTGCTTAAGCGCGGCACCGAGTAGCTCAGATGACGGAAACCATGCATCTATTGGCCAGGAGTGGCTAACTCCATCCAGTATCTCGTTTTGCTGCCTGGCCTAGCGTTGGCACACCGCGGTGCACTATTCGTTCAGTCTCGCACGCATGTGACTTGCAAAGATGGAGCCCGCGCAGAACGATATCCAAAACGCTACCCAAACGACACGCGCAAACAAAGATCGCCAAGGATGAGGATCCAAGTGGACGCGCTTCAAAACTATGCTTCAGCAGAGTTTAAAAAAAATGTCCAAATATGTAAAAACAGGAAACCCTGTAAAACGATAGGGGACTCACTAACTTGATGACGCACTTGACGTAAACAATAAATTTTGACCGTGGCTCATTTATATATATCTATATATGGCTATATAGATAAATAGAGTGATCTATAGATCTATATATATATATATATTGAAATAACGAAGTAGTTATATAATGGGGTTTATAAGTCAATTTATAACTAGGCACCATTCGGTGTCCCATCCATATGCCATCCATTCCCCTTAAGGGTGAAACGGTGAAGTTTGACCGATTCGGTGCAGACACTTTTCACCACAACCCAACTGCCTCACTTCAGGACTTAAACAGCCGCAATGTTCGCGTGAGCGAGATTCGCCCGTTGGCATCCAAAACGGCCTGGGGTTATTTCCAAGCCACAAGTTTCTGTTTGGTTGAAACATGGCTATATTAGGCTCAATTCCTATATATACATATACAATTACTAGAAAATCATGTAAATATACCACTCTTAGGGGGAGGAACATCCATAAATCCCGACTCAAATTCCTTCATGAGTTTGCGGGAGGCCATCATGCCAGCGTCCATGGCAAGTGAAAGACAACATATCTCAAAACCAAAGAGCCTTGAAGGGCCTTGATTTGATTTTGATCCCAAGCTACCCTAAAAGTACCCTCGGTATTCAGACATCTAAATTCTTGGATCTTCAAAAACCATTTGGGGGATGATTTTCCCCTTCAAGCTGATGGAGAAATACCAGATCCACACTTTTTCTTTGAAGCCTCAACCTTAGGCGCAGAGCCTCAGAAGATCACAGAGGAGTTCTTGATGAAATGTCTGGATGCGAAGAAAGCTGAGCAGTTGGTGAAGGCGTATCAGGAGCTCTATGTGGCCCATATATATATATATATGGATATATAGATAGATAGAGTGTTTATTCAAAGAACGAAATAGTTCTATAATGGGGTTTAGAAATCAATTTATAACTAGGCACCATTCGGTGTCCCATCCATATGCCATCCATTCCTCTTCAGGGTGGAAACGGTGAAGTTTGACCGTTTCGGTGGCGACACTTTTCACCACAACCCAACTGCCTCACTGCAGGACTTAAAAAGCCGCAATGTTCGCGTGAGCGCGATTCGCCCGTTGGCATCCAAAACGGCCTGGGGTTATTTCCAAGCCACAAGTTTCTGTTTGGTTGAAACATGGCTATATTAGGCTCAATTCCTATATATACATATACAATTACTAGAAAATCATGTAAATATACCACTCTTAGGGGGAGGAACATCCATAAATCCCGACTCAAATTCCTTCATGAGTTTGCGGGAGGCCATCATGCCAGCGTCCATGGCAAGTGAAAGACAACATATCTCAAAACCAAAGAGCCTTGAAGGGCCTTGATTTGATTTTGATCCCAAGCTACCCTAAAAGTACCCTCGGTATTCAGACATCTAAATTCTTGGATCTTCAAAAACCATTTGGGGGATGATTTTCCCCTTCAAGCTGATGGAGAAATACCAGATCCACACTTTTTCTTTGAAGCCTCAACCTTAGGCGCAGAGCCTCAGAAGATCACAGAGGAGTTCTTGATGAAATGTCTGGATGCGAAGAAAGCTGAGCAGTTGGTGAAGGCGTATCAGGAGCTCTATGTGGCCCATATATATATATATATGGATATATAGATAGATAGAGTGTTTATTCAAAGAACGAAATAGTTCTATAATGGGGTTTAGAAATCAATTTATAACTAGGCACCATTCGGTGTCCCATCCATATGCCATCCATTCCTCTTCAGGGTGGAAACGGTGAAGTTTGACCGTTTCGGTGGTGACACTTTTCACCACAACCCAACTGCCTCACTGCAGGACTTAAAAAGCCGCAATGTTCGCGTGAGCGCGATTCGCCCGTTGGCATCCAAAACGGCCTGGGGTTATTGCCAAGCCACAAGTTTCTGTTTGGTTGAAACATGGCTATATTAATAGGCTCAATTTCCTATACATATACCATTTCTAGAAAATCATGTAAATATACCACTCTTAGGGGGAGGAACATCCATAAATCCCGACTCAAATTCCTTCATGAGTTTGCGGGAGGCCATCCTTGAAGGGCCCTCTAAATTGTTGGATCTTCAAACCATTTGGGAGATGATTTTCCCCTTCAAGCTGATGGAGAAACACCATATCCACACTTTTTCTTTGAAGCCTCAACCTTAGGCGCAGAGCCTCAGAAGATCACAGAGGAGTTCTTGATGAAATGTCTGGATGCGAAGAAAGCTGAGCAGTTGGTGAAGGCGTATCAGGAGCTCTATGTGGCTCATATATATATATATGGCTATATAGATAGATAGAGTGTTTATTTAAAGAAAGAAATAGTTCTATAATGGGGTTTAGAAATCAATTTATAACTAGGCACCATTCGGTGTCCCATCCATATGCCATCCAGTCCTCTTGAGGGTGGAAACGGTGAAGTTTGACCGTTTCGGTGGTGACACTTTTCACCACAACCCAACTGCCTCACTGCAGGACTTAAAAAGCCGCAATGTTCGCGTGAGCGAGATTCGCCCGTTGGCATCCAAAACGGCCTGGGGTTATTGCCAAGCCACAAGTTTCTGTTTGGTTGAAACATGGCTATATTAGGCTCAATTCCTATATATACATATACAATTACTAGAAAATCATGTAAATATACCACTCTTAGGGGGAGGAACATCCATAAATCCCGACTCAAATTCCTTCATGCGTTTGCGGGAGGCCATCCTTGAAGGGCCTTCATTTGATTTTGATCCCAAGCTACCCTAAAAGTACCCTCGGTATTCAGACATCTAAATCTAAATTGTTGGATCTTGAAAAACCATTTGGGAGATGATTTTCCCCTTCAATCTGATGGAGAATCACCATATCCACACTTTTTGTTTGAAGCCTCAGCCTTAGGCGCAGAGCCTCAGAAGATCACAGAGGAGTTCTTGATGAAATGTCTGGATGCGAAGAAAGCTGAGCAGTTGGTGAAGGCGTATCAGGAGCGGCTCCAGCCGCTTTCACCATGATTTAGCCATCTGAGAGTGAAGGAACATTGGGCTGAATACCAATAAGAACTGGATTTAATAAATGTGGTTTATGACAACAGAAATGAGTTGCATGATTTACTAGGTGCTGTCCTGTCTTCTTCTCCCTTTTCCTGTCTTCTTGTGTTTTCTGTCGTCTCTTTGGGCCTGGGTTGTCTTGTGGCTGGTGGTGTGTTGTGTCGTCTCGTCTCTGGTTGTGTTGTCTTGTGTTGTCTTGTTGTCTTGTGATGTCTTGTGTTTCTTGTGGTCTTGGTTGTCGTCCCTTTTGTCGTGTCCCTGTTTGCCGCTGCCCCCTGCCATGTTTCTTTCCGTTCGTGCCTTCTGGATGCTGTTTCTTCTTTTGTCTCTTCTCGTCTTGTCTTGTGTTTGCTGGTCTGGTCTTTTGCCTTGGGTTGTCTTCTGCCTGGTGCTGGGTTGTGTTTGCTCGTCTCTGGCTGGTTTGCCTTGGTGGTTCTCTTCTGTCGTCTTGTGTTGCTTCGTGGTTTTGTTGTTTCCGTGTTTCCTGCTCACCCCTGCCAGGTGCCTACTTCCAGGTGGAGCTCTTCACGGCGCGGCTGCTTGGCTTGGTCTGGTGGGGGGTGGGTCTGGTCCGGTTGGGTGCTCCGTGTGTCTTGTCTTGTCTGGTCTTGTCTTTTGGCTGGGCTCTCTTGTGCCTGGTTGTGGGCTGTTTCCTCTTCTGTCCTGGCTCTGCTGTCTTGTGCCTCGTCTGGCCGTCGCCCCCTTTGTTTCTCGTCCCTGGCAGGTGGCCTCTTCTTCGTTGCTGCTGCATCTGTGTAGCGGCTGGGCTACTTGCCGGGGCTGCGCTGTTGGCATTCGATTTTTTCGCCGGAGGTGAAAAAATATAGTGACGGCAGGCAGATGTCATAGGGAGTTGGAGTGTGAAATAAATTTGACACATCAACCGCACATTTTTGGTGCAACTACTTCCTGCTTCTTCGCAGTGTGTCTGTGACCATATGTGAATTCGCCAGGGTTTCCAACGCAGCGCATTGTGTGAGACCGATACATGCTTCATGCCGCTGCTCGGGGAGTCGAGTTTTTAGTTTTTTAATTTTGCCACATGGCTGTGTGGCAGCCTTCTTGCCATGAAACGGCGTCGCTTGCATGGGAAGCAGCCAGCTTGTCATCTAACAATTGACCAGGACGATGCGGAAGACGTGGATGTGTCAGCCGCCCAGTCACCTCAAGCAGACTGGGCGATGGTGCCCGAGCATGAAATAGATGGTTTGCAGGTGGAACAGGCTGACCCAGATCTTCCAGTACATGAGGACTCAGCCCAAGATGCTTCTGCGCCGTCCCAGCGCTTTGATTTCTTGAGCCCAAGAACTGTCAACACCATAGTGTCTTCGTTGCTGCAAAGCAAGACCGATGAAGAGCTGCATAGCCTTACAGTAGCCCGTGTCCTGCAAGATGCGCTGGCCAAGTCGGCTGGGAAGGTTTCGGAGACCGAGTTGACTGAGAAGCGTGATGACTTCATAGCTGCCTGCATGAAATTGATTCCCAAAGAGCTTGCTCGGCGCTTGGTCACAGCAGTTGCATCCCAAAGCAAGCCGCAGTCAGAAGCAGCTGCACTTCAGCCAGTGGGGATTGATAGTCAGACATACCAGAAAAGCTACTTCGTAACAATTAGCCGCCTGCCTGAGTCCCCAGAGCCTAGCCGAGAGGAGATGCAGAGAACAATGTTGCAAGCTTTCCGCGAAGCTGGTTACAGCAAAGAAACCAAAGTGACCCATCTTGCGATTTTTCGCGAGACGCACAGGCGAGGAGGAGTCCATTTCCACATAGCCACATGTGTGTCGGAGCGCTGCCGATGGCTTCCATGGAAAAAAGCTCTTGCCAAGCACGGCATCGCAGCGCACTTCCAGCATATTCAGATTCAAGGGTGGGCCAAGCATCGGAAGATGCAATACCAATGCATGTTGAGATATTGCTTTGTGCCTACGGCAAAGAAGCCATTGGCATCACTTGACCCAGAACCCCTTTTGTATCACTGCAGTGGACGGCACCCGCCGCTAATAGATGCAATCCAAGGTGAGCTGGATGCAGAAGCTATCACCTTGTCAGTGCAAGAGAAATTCCTTCAGAGAGCAGAGCATGGCAAGCCCGGGGAATCCAGATTTCAGGTGTCTTGCATTTGCTTCGGGGCACTTTTCGCACCAAAGAATGATTGCTAGTTTGGCCTCCAGGGTTCCAACACCAGTCCCCGTGAAAGTTTTGTTCTGCGTTCGCATCAGAGATTATTTTCCCGAACGTTGTGCGACAGGTAGATATTATACATCACCACAAGTACACTACATATAGATGCATAGTACAATGTAGTTCCTTGCACGGATATGGTCTTGACATTAGTCCATGAATAGTTTTGCGGATTTTGGTTTCGGGTTCACATTGGTATCTTCTTCTGATGTCTCAAGAAGCAAAGACCCAATCCAGCAGCCAAGCTTCCAAAAGCGAGGCTTTGCCAGAGCCAAAGACCAAGGCCCCTGGTGTTTGCTTTTCCTCTGATGGCTGGGGACTGCGGATATGGTTTTGTTTCTAACTGTCCGCAAAAGTTCTGCGAAGCAGCGGGTGGCAGTGAAAGTGCCTTTTGAAGGGAGTGGCCCAGTAAGCCTTGCAAATCAATTGCCTAATCAGCAGCAACTTGTCCTCAGAAGGGGATTTCGTGATGCTAGCTGCATGTTTACAATGCTATGACGACGTTATCCGTGTTAATTTGGTGTGACTTGGTAGGTGATGAATGAATCTGCATAAGAGCAGTTGTTGCGCAACATGGATTCCGCGTAAGGTCAACCTGGAGTCAGGGAAAAAGTAGCACAAGAGCATTTTCTATTCGCAAAGAATAGACGTTTGCAGCGAAAGGAATTTTGATCAACCACCTTTTTTTTTTTGAAGAGCACCTGCAGGACTTGCACCTGTGGCCGGTGGTTCGTGCCTTGAACGTCCAGGCAAACGACCCGCTGTTGTTGGCGAAGCTGCTGCAGCATGGACGCCAAACTGGAAACGAACCCCTGCTCACATGGCTCTTCAAGAATTCTGCTTCAGTTCGCCAGAAGGTAGACTTGTGCTGGCAGCTTGAAAACTGCACTCAGCTAATTCGGGATGGAGAGAAAACGGTCTGGCATCGTTTTACGGCTTGCTTGGATGTGCCATGCTGTTGCGGCCGCGCATGGGTGGTAGCAGCCAGGCAAATTGTCGCTAGCAACCGCTTCGAGGAGCGGCAGCTATGCAGCGACATTCGCATAGCACTGCTCCGTGGCCTTCGCAGGAAAGGAGACTTGCTCACCTTCGCTGGCTGGGGGAACGAAGGCAAATCGTTCCTCCTCCGTCCTCTCACAAAGATCTTTCAGAAAGTGTCTCGGGTTTCTACGTGTAACAATTTTTTGTGGGTTCCATGGAAGCCTCGAATCAGCATTTTTGCAGTATAAGATAATGAATGTGTGTACCGACGCACTTATAGTCTTGAATCAGTGCCCCATCCATGTTTATGCACGAAATTGCGATTTCATACCCCCACTTCTGGATTCATAATTGCATTTCTCAGTATTCACAGAGTGCGTACCGACGTAGTCTCCCATCCATTGTTTAATCAAACAGTGGGATTCACATCCCCAGTTATGGATTCATAACCCCATGGACTGCTAACAGAATGTGGGCGCTGACCTGACGCATCTATAGTCGTGAGCCAGTCGCATCCATGTGTCAAACAAACATTGGGATTCATACCCCCAATTATTGATTCATAACCCTATTTACCAGACCCTGTGACTTTCGTGGGGACCATGGTCTCATGTTTGCATTGCAGGTCTTCTACGGACCGGTGAAGGGTTCATGCCCGCTTCTTCATTTGCCAGATGCGCAGATCGTGCTCTTGGACGATTTCCGGCCTGACGGGCAGCTGCTGGACATAGCAACTCTTTTGATGTGGTTTGAAGGTGGTGCGATTACAATTGCACGACCGTTGAACTGCTACCAGACCCACCTCCAGTTCCAGGCAACACAGCCGCATTTTGCGACCTGCTCATTCGCTTCTCTACATGCTGCTCGCGGGAAGGTGACGGATACCGAACTATCCATGCTGCGCAGCAGGATGAAGCTCTATGTCTTCCAAAAGCGGCTCGAGGAGGTGCGAGACATTCCCTGCTGCGTCAACTGCTTCGCCATGTGGATCCTGTCAGCTGGTGGTAACGTGGCAAAATTCTTGGCTAAAGGTTTCCCAGCTGTCGATGGATGACAACAATGTACATGACGAATTGCAAAGCTTGCAGCCTTGTCGCTGCGATGTCCCAGCTGCAGTGACAGTGTGTAGACCTAATTAGAAAACCCGTTTCCGGCCCGGGCAAAGAACCTTTTAGCCTCGCAGCTACGATGTGCCAGCTGCAGTGCTGGTCTGTGTTTCTACCTAATTACTAATTCAAAAGCCAACGGCCAGTGACAAAATTCATCTTGCAGCTGTGATGTGCCACCTGCACTGACGGCACATGTGTTTCTTCCTAATTGAAAGAACCTTTCTGGCCACATGTTGGCCCCCCCTGCTTTCTGGCCACATGTTGGCCCCCCCTGCACCCCCCGGAATCAAGGTTGATGAAAATGTCTTGCTGTGAAGACCTGACGCTTTGGAAGTTGGCTGCTGCAGTGATTAACACCAGGAAACAACATTGATCCTGGGGGTGCGGGGGGGAGAGCCGCTGCTTTGACCCTACGTGGGGCCTCGTGCTCTGTGCGCAAAAGGTCTGAATTTGGGGTCGCTAACGGACGCTGATTGCAGCCCTCTTCATTGAGGGCCCTCCTTGTATATATATCTTATATATATATATCTTATATATATATATATATTCACCCCATATAATTATATTATATATTGATATATATATATAATATTATATAATGTAGTATTATATATGGCCGTTGAATTGGGGAGCATGAGCTCTTCAAATGTCTTTAACCCGTGGATGTTTTGGCGGCCCATTTTCAGACAAGTCCATATGGCGGTTTCAAGTCGACTATATATTATATAAGTTCTGTTCGCATCATGTTCGGTTTCTAGCAGGATGTTCACGCTGCCTTTGATTGCATCAACTGATGTCCAAATCTGATCGCCCCGCTTGGTTTGATCAAATGTTTAGAAATTCAGCAGCCCTTTCAACACTGACAAAAACTCGTCAAGAATTTTACATTACATGACCACATGCGACAACACTCATAAACACAACATGTTCCAATCAGCAGCCCTACACACACATGGGGGTAAAAACAAACAAGGTCTCTGGTTCAGATTTCCGCTTAAACCAATCCATTGAAAGTTCATTTGTTCATAATCAATATTGTTAGATCATATTGAATCCACGATTTTTGTGGTTGCTTTCCAAAACCCCCCAATTTTCCAGGGCCCAAATATTTGCCGTGCCGAAGCGCGAACGACCTTGGTATTGGAGGCCCAATTCTCAGAACCCAACTGACAGGTGGATTCCGAGGTCAGCGTGTAGCCATCGTTGCAAGCAGCGCATTGGTTGAAGCCGGTCCTTCCGCGCTGGGCGGGGTCGCGAACCCCATGTTTGGTTGAGGACATTGGCAAAGAGAATCTCTTGGCAAGGAGCCCACCAAAAATGTTGCTAATATCTTAGTTTGATGGATTTGGTCCCCATTTAACAATCGAATCCTCCCCAGCACCCCCAAAAAACAACTTTCTTCCCCATGGGCGTCGCCTTACAGGTGACCTCAGCCGAAAAAATACATCAGTTTCCCTAGTGAATTGCCAATACCTTGGGGATATGGTCCATTTTCAAACAACGCCACATAATTAGGCAGCATCATATTCATTGGTTGTATGCCCATTACTTGTTGGTTGCTGATCCCCTGTTAAAAGTTTAAGTTTTAGAAGCTTATCAGGTAAATCCAGCTAACCCCAAAAGCACAAAAAACCAAGTGTAGTAAGTCGATCTGATCCATCCAAAGCAAACAACCCAATAAATTCGTTGATTATATATATATATATATGCAAACCCATGAAACATTGCACCCATGATATCCAATTGGCATATCCCTTATATCCATTCTGTCCCATGACTTTAGATGACTATATACCTGTATGCCCACGGTATCCCACATTTCCCCACCAAGCGTCATGGAGAGTTGTGACTTGCAGGCCTTGCAGCCTGCCCCAGGTCCGGGAGTGCAGGTAAAGGGTTTGCAGGTGCCATTTACCAGGCCGTACCCGTCGTTGCCTGATGCTGAATCCCCAAGCTGCAGCTTTCAATGGGATAAACCGGGGAACATCATGTGGAACATCCGCTTTTCACTGATATCATTCGCCTCCGGTACTCAAACATGGCCGTTGAAAATCCGATATACATGGGGGTTTAGTTTGCTGGGACAATCAACGCAACTAAATGGGAGATTTTCCAGCAAGCCACGTTTGATTTTTCGGAGGGTATATCTCTTACATAATACATCCCTGAAATATTAGGTCTTCAATATCAGCAAATCTAATATTTGGGGGGCAAATACTGGGGCTAGGGGGATGGGATATAATATCATACTTGGCAAGAGATATAATAAGCCCATCCCCCTTTCATATTAAAGGCCCCTCTCTATGGTCCTCAATATATGTATATGTAAATCCACCTCTAAATCATGGTATCTTGGGGGTGTTTGCTATTAGGGGGATGGGATTAGTGATTAGTGTTACAATCAGATTCATTATATCGTGAATCTGCTGCAATCTATGAACCCATGATCTGACAAAAGTACGGAATAACGTCCTAGCATTTTGGTTAATTAATCATGAAATGCATCAGTTAATAGCGTTTGTCTGGGAAACACAACTACATAAAGAATAAGTAATAAGGTAACGGTTTAGTGCTTATATTATGGTAAAACGACGCATCATGAGTTACAACATTTAAAGACATGTTGAATGGACCCTAAGGTTGTGGCAATGTCCAGTAATGTCCAGCAGGAAAATCATCCAAACTGATGGTCTGGTAAATCATCTTAGGGTAAATCATGAATGCTTAGATATGTGGTATTGTAGTACCATGTAGTACCCAAATCGGTATCCAATGGATTTTTTCCATTTTTTTCCCCTCCTGGACATGATGATGAGGCTTCGGCTTCGGATTCCTTTTGGTGGTGGACCAAGTGATGTCCATTCCCTCTCATGGGTGAAGGATTAACAAACTCAATGCTACATGGATCAAAATGGACCAAAATGTTTTACAACCCCTTAGTGAAAGCCCATGAACTGGTCGTTTTCAGGAATGAAACCATTCAATTTTGGAATATCAAATGACTAGATCCATGTCCAAAGTTGGGTGCCCCACAACAGTTAAAGGGCCTTCCACTGGGTACCCCACCACAAACTGAACCTCTTTGGCGGTTTCGGTCCATGGATGGTGATTGGTGATTCTGTCATCCCCTGGATGAAGGTGGATTTTTCTGAGGCTGCTACACGTGTTGCACTGGTTTTCCTGAGCACAGCGGATGACCAGAGCAAGTACTCCCAGTTTTCTTGGTTCATGTCCCTTCATGTCTGTTGTACCCACTACCGCTGCTGCCGCCATTTTGTTGGCTCATGTCCTGCAAGGATGGAGTTCGACGGGATCAACTTTTGATAGAAATCATTGTAACATTAACCAGCTACTAACCACAGATCTCAAATTCACTTGGATTATTCCCTGCCTTGCAGGATGTTGTTTTTTTAGCTGGTTATAGTCTATTTTCTATGACAACAAGACTAAGTTACCCAGTCAAGATTACGTTTACCCAGCGAATTATGTGGTACCCTGTTGAAATAGCTATATACTGCCATGCTGCATATATGTCTATGATATAACAAATGATACAATTACATAACCCCGCTACCAACCATAAATCTTCAACTTCAGCTGATTTAAACTGTATTAGATCCACTTGGCAGAAAACAATATCAACTATTTGCCCAAAATATTATTAAACCATAAAACCATTGCTATCCAGCCATTCAACTAGGAAAATGCATCGTTTGTAGCTTCTAGTTTTCCTAGGGGAAGCCATGTTTGTTTTCAAGGAATCTGTTTGATTGTTTACTGAAGAGTAAATATAATTTGTTATTTTTCTTGTTATAATCATCCAAACAAAACTATCTTCGAAATATTGATAAACCATGATCAACCATCAGAACAATCATCAATCAACTGTATCCATATGTCTCCATTCATATTGGTAAACCATGGTAAACGATGAAATTTCCCAGCATTTCCCCAGCTCCAGAGCCTCCCAGGTGCGCCCAAGCTTCATCCGTTCGCGTCGCTTGCAGGCGACACGTCTTGCATCCCGCGCCCACGTCTTCCTCGCAGCTGAAGGCTTCGCAGTGCAGATCACGGGTGAGACGATATCCTGACGAGAAAAGGGCAGCGGAATTTTTAGTAAGTGGGTTATAACCCCAGTTATAAGTGGATTAACCCTACTTATCCCATTTATAACTGGGGTTATAACCTACTTACTAAGTGGGATGAGCCACCAAGTACCTATCTGGGTATATTTACTGTTACGATATGTAGACTGTGTAATAATAGACTATACTGACTATACTTGATTTATAATACTTTGGATAGTTTACCCTGGTTTGAGTATGTGCAAGAAATTGGTGGCATTCGATCCCTCATCAAAAGGGAGGCTTATCACTGCGCTCAGCGCATATACATGGCGTCAAAAAACTGGAAAGACAAATACAATTTAAATCATGGTAAATTACTGTTCTATCTGTTGTGGGTTGCTATATATTCATATTGAATAAGTTTAAATAAATACTGGTTTTACTGTGCTTGCAATGATGCAGTAGTGACTATAAACGTTTCTAAATATCAGGAAACCTGAAAACCAGTGGTTTCCATAATGGAAACATGACCAATACAGACAATGACAACTTTGGGTGCATTTCAGGGTAGGATGGGATGGTGAACGGAACCCAAAACTGACCCAACTGTGTGAGTTCCAGGGACTCTAGATTTTGATCCATATGGTCATATGGATTCATATGGTATATACCAGTTCACGGACTGTGTGATCAGTATCTCGTGGGACACCGTAAGTTCGCCTTTCTTGCTGGAACGAGGCTGCCACGTTGGCTCCTCATTGCTGCTGCACAAATGATTTCATTATGGAATTGTGACGCTGTGACCTTCTCCTGCGGCCCCACATTGACTTCCCAAGTCCAGTCCTGGATTGCATTGGTAGCATTGTCCATCAGAAGTCCTTGCTTCTTGACGAGTGCAAATGCGGCATTCGTCCTCCGTCCCCACGTGGCACTCGTAGGGTTCGCACTTTGAGTCCTAACAAAATTTGGAGGTCCAGGGCCGCATCAAAGTCATCCAAAAAGGACAATCAGGTCAAACAGTTTCCTTGCTTTTTCTTGCGGAGAATCTGAAGCTTCTCATCTTTCATGATCAACTATAATTCTGTGATCATATTAATGTTTGTATATGTTAATATATACACATAGTTGAGGCATGTTGAGGCATGACTTAGTCCGTCATCCATCATCCCCATCGACCCGGGATGACCCGGGATGACCCGGGCCTGGTTTAGCTTGAAACCCCGATTGCAGGAGAGGCATTGCTGCTCCGCCGTGCGCTTCTCCAAGAGTTGGCACTTCAAACATTCACTGCCCAGTCCAGGACTGCCTAGAGAATGGATGAAAGTGAACTCTGAAAGCCTCCAGACCTGGATTTTTTTTATGGACTGTATACAAGAGTAGGTACCAAAGTATGAATTTCTCTACTCAAATATAGCGATGAATTTATATGACCTGTTCTAGCTTGTTTTTGGATCACTACAAACATCCAAACCAAGGAACATGAATGGACATGACTATTTTTCACGATGCACAACTAAGTTTAGTATGAGTTTGTCATAGTTGGTCGAACAGTGGGGAAGATACCCTATTTTCTGGCCGTTAAAATGCGGGAAAAGATTTGGGGTATCCTATGTATGTTCAAACAAATGCACGTGGTGCTCCCCATTGTCCACCCCACCGATTAACGTTGTACACAAGTGGAATGTAGTGGACAACGGACCTACAGTGTGAATGATGTGCTTTTCTGCAGTCCAAGTTTCAGGAGTAGGGCTGACAAGTGCCATTCAGCAACTTGAAGCCCGGATTGCACTCTGAGCACTCATTCTCCTGCAGCCATTATTATCTACAAAAAGCAGCGTAAATATGTGTAAATAACCAACACTTCACTCCACAGAAGAGCTGACATGACATGTCAAACGAAAACATATGTCCTCCAACCTATAGAACTACGGTATCTCATGCTGAGCTGTTCCAATCCCACGTCCTTAATGCGATTCTCAAGCTTTTCACAGCTCTTGCAGGCATCCAAAGGCCCGGTGCTGCAAGCAAAAGGCTCGCCTTAGAGGGGGAGTGAGGAACACCCTGAGGAAATCCTGGATATCTGAAACCACCAAGCACATGTGTGGCCCCATTTATTTGAATCCCTAAATCACACCACCTCTTTTACAGCCAGTTTCATGCAAGTGGGCCTTTCCATCCTGAACTTCGCCAAGCGACATAAGTTCTCAGTCAGCTTGAACCCAGGCTTGCAAGTCTCACACCTCATGCGGACTGCAATGACACTTGGAATTCGTCATGTTGGACACTCAAAAATTATCCTGTTGGCCTGTTGGGCATTTTCTACCAAGAAAATGGAGGTTTGCTATTGAGTAGGGATGTAAAAGGTTGGCAAGCGGTTAACAATATCCTATGAGAGCCGAGCTGTAGAGGGTCTTAAGTCATCATCGGGTGCCCAACCAGCTACCTTCAAGGATGACACCTGCAGAGCTTCTGTCAAAGGGAACAAAGTTCATGACATCCTGAACCAGAAACACAGGTGGCTCAGATCATCTTGCCTGATGTTAAGTCAAAATCAGGGAGTCTAACAGTCTAACACCTGAGACCTAGCCAGAGACAACGCTCCTTAATGCCACAATGGCACTGATGATCATCTGTGAGCCTGCTGGCATCCCGACAGCTCTGGCAGTTTTCAATCTCGGACACATCACCTCAAATGACAAACCATTGATTTCTCCACAATCTGTGTCTTGTTAGTTTCTATGTCTATGTTCCTTGTTTCACTTGTTCACATGTAAGGTAATCTTGAATCACCGGAGCCTGCATTTTAAGAGGATAGCCTTTCAGGAAGTGGATGTACCAACTGTGCGCGTCTTCGCTAGAGCTAGAGCGACAGGCGTTCAGCAATCACAACAAAACACATTCAAAAACTAGCAGAAGATAAATATGGGCTGCTCCCAACACTAGCAGTGGCAACCTCATTTCTTTCCCTTCCGAATAGAACATACATCGGCCACAGGTGGGTTTTTGGATGGATTTATCTCAGATTCTCAGATATCTCCACATTGGTTTCTTACACCGCGGCATTCCGTGGCTCAGTCCTTTCCCCTGCGGGACGTCCAAGTGACAAATGAATTTGCGACAGGTCTGATCTGCCAGATGTTTGAAGCCAGCCTTGCAGGTGACGCACTGCTGGTCCTGGCTGGATTCCAAAGCACCGCAGATCGTAGTTGCTGGATATTCTTATCATGAATCCATCTTGGATGAGACCACCAGTTTTGTGGGGATGGTTGGATACAATGTTTAATCTGCTCAATGTTGCTCAAAAAAACATTTCAAATTGAACTGCCGATTGCCATGATATAATTGTACGGTGATTTTGCTGGGTGATGCGCAACTCTTTGGAATATGTCAGCGGCGAATTGGTTTGATGGGAAACTTAGAGGAAATCCTGGGTTTGATCAACCTCGATATGCAACCCTGAATTTCCTAGATACATCTTTATACCTCTGTATATGACCTTGAGCTGCAAATTGAGGTATATTCCTCCGTGGGGATATCGTTCTAGCCTAAACAGCAACTTGCCTGTGCCATGTGGTCAAGTTGCCATGGATGCCATTGGATGTCTTCCACGTCACCATCCTGCCATGGCACCTTGGTCAGTTCCTTCTGTGGTCGACAGCTGGTGCAACCCGCCGTCTTCGCGTCGCAGCGAAAGGAACGACACTTGAAGAACTCGGTGAGGAGATAGCCCTTGTCACCTGGAGTTGGACCGGCCTATGGCTTCATCAGAAAGGGGAGATGGAACATGATGGAACGGTATAACGTATAACTTATATATAAGTAATATATGTATATAATGACTAGAGTATAGATCATTGCAACTTTTTCGGAATAGAATGGGAATACAACTAACAAAATGGACCAACATGGGTGTATTTTCTGCAGAGATAAAATCTGGATATAACCAACCATCTGGGGATATGGGTAGAACAAAACTTCTCGGGGTATTGTTACAACACTGCAACCAGCAACCACTGGGGGATAGAATCACCATTCACTCGGGATTCGGGGTAAACAGGGGAACCGAAAACCCCATTGACCCCTGGAACTGGATGTAAAGTGTATGACAACCATCCACGGCAACTTTGTCTATTCAAATCTGACTGTGAATCGGTGCCGAGTTGCACTCTCCGCATTGCCTATCTGCTGTTCTTTCCTGCCAGGACAGCAAATTGCTGGGACATTTTTCTGGGTCACGCCAGTCATTTGTTGAGAAAAATGCCAACAACCACCGGTTCTGACGGCTCAACCCATGCCAATAAATATGTGTCAATTAGTATCAATGCGGGAAGAGGATGGACAGTGTGATCTGATGATGTATTACATATACATTCGAAACATGTTCAAGTCGCCAGCCATACAAGTTAGGTAGTCTGGCCCACTGGAACAACATTGCTCACCACAATGCCAACAGCCAGCAATGAACAAGTTGAAAACGAAGTTGATCACACACTTCTGCCTCATACTTACATCTTTTGATATCTTTTGCTCAAAAAAAAGCAAAACCCATTTTCATCATACCTTCCATCATATTCAGTTTGTCACAATCTGGGCATCCACACATGAGTGGCTCGGCAGTGCTTGCAACCATCGATTCCCTCCAAATCGCACATATAGGGAGCGCATTTCTGCTTCTCCAGCTTGTAGCCCTCGTTACCTCGAACACAAGCCATGAAAAATGCTGATTAGAACGCATTGAGGATCATCCCAGGGGTCGAAAACAGTCCATTTAAATCAGTATAAATCAGCAAACATGGGGATCTATGATGAGTTCCCCTAAACATGCTTCCAACTCTTCACATTTTCAGGGGGGCTTGGAGCTGGTGATGTGTATTGGTGGTAGGCTTGCATACCCAGTTGCATTCCAAGCACTGGTCATGATCCGTCCTGTCCTGCAGCTTTAAACACTGGGAGAAAGAAATGGATATTTGTGGATATCTATGGATATCTATGGATATCTATGGATATCTGATGATGTCTCAAATTTTCTGAGGAAAACCACAGGAACGTCACAGGTCTCTGACACATTCTGACACGCAGAACATCATCAGGATCATTGAGGCAATACTCAGAGAATGCACTGCTTACTCATGATATTTTCCAAAGACCATGAAAAGATAGTCACATAATGTCAGATAATATTCCCATCTATGGCTATGAGATAAATCAAGCATTAAAGCATCATTACTGTATTCCATGGGTTTTCCATGGGTTTTCCATGTATTCCGAGCCACATCAACCAAGTACGACCCCATTTCGCACCGCCTCTAAGTCCTTGCATGCCTTGCAAGCACGACCTCTGAAGGCGGAGCAGTGGATCAACGACACGTTGGCATCCTGCTTTTAGATCCTGAAATTGGTAGTGGACTATATATATATAATATAATATATATATATATGTATAGTCAAACGGTGTCAAACCGTGTCAAACCCATTGACTTCATTGACTCCTATATCATTATCAACAAAAGGAGGTTTCTTGGGGTTTCTCACTTCTATCCATTCAGTTCAGGTCGCAAATCAGTTACATCATCAGTGTTCGATCCACCTTCCAATGTTGCCCTATATACACTACCAATATGCTGCACATTGGATTCAAACAGTTCATGTTGCTGCAGCTTTGCCAACGTAATTTCATCAGTTCATAGTCCATATCCAAGGGCAAGCCCAGTGCGACCGCGTCCATCCAGCATTACTACTGAACCAAAGTACCACCTCTTAAGAAGTCAGGATTCCTTGTATATCCTCTATAATAATGAGGGGGGTTCACCGCTTACTTCTTACTCATTCTGGTCAACCGTTGAACCCACTGTGCCTGGACCGGTGAAGCACTCGAATTCCGACTTCACCAGCACCGCAGTCGTTGGGGCTGCGGTGGGCGATGCACGGACGACGCTGGCGTCGCTGGCGTCGCTGTGCAGCGTCAGCAACTCCTGGTAGGGCTGGCGCAGCTGGGATATCTCTGGGATGGCCTAATAGCCTAATAAACGTTTTTAGGATCAAATGATCAGGAACTTGGATGATAACTTGGGGTCCCTGGATTTTAAGAAAAGTTCCACCATCAATTTCCATCTCCCGCCTCCGTCGCTTCGCTCTCCGCCATCCGCGTCACGCGCTCTGCCGCCACCCGCAGGCCGCTGCGGCCGGCGCCGGCGCCGCGGGCGAACTCGCTGCGGGAGACGAGGCCATCGTGGTCCCGGTCCAGGGCGCGGAAGTGGGCGGAACCTGGTGGAACACCAACAGATGTTGGGAATTGACAGATACCTTTAATAAAAAACAAGGAAAGGACAGGAACGACATGTGTTCTCTAATTTTTGGGGATGTAATGTGGGGCACATCAGCGAAATATCAACAAATTGGACAAAAAAACGATTAGAACCAACAAAAAACTGACATGCGAGCAAATTTGCAACCACACGAGTCTGAGTCTGAGACCACCCCCACGTGACCCCCACCCTGCTCATACTGCAGGAGGGCAACTGGTCATCTCATCCTCAGACAAGCTGTCATCAAAGTTCTTGTCCAGCTCATCGAAAGCCTTGTTGATCCCCTCCAAGTCATTACCTTCACAGCTGGAACTTGTGGTGGAAACTGAGTGGTGCAGGGGTCAGATGTGAGACACCCATGTAATCACACCATTCCCGAAATCTTCACGTTTGTTGCCAAAATCTCTAAGGATCTTTCACTTCTGAACTCAAGAAAAAATCCGGTCACCAGCATCTTTGCGGAAACCATCCACTTTTCGATACCGCCTGAAAAACTGCCCCTGATATCCCCTGATCATTTTCAGACAAATCCATACCAGATTGTTTGGTTTGTTCATCCAATTATATCCCCATAAAATCCCATCAAGCCTCCCATCAAAAAAAGCAGCTAATTATAGCTATATCATCTGCTACATCCCCTATTCCATTTCTTGTTGTGTATCCATGCCACTTAGCCCCTCCTCGATCTCCCCTGTGACTCCCGGCTAGTCATGGCTTGTCGGGCCATGGCCGTCCGTAAGCTGCGCGTCGAGCGCGCATCTCCGAGGGCAAAGGCCAAGGCCAAAGCAAGGCCTGGACGCTGATGAAAAAGGGGGAAATTCACCATCAAATCTGAGGATTTCACAATTTTCATGGGTCATTAAATGTCCCCATTGAACATCACCCAACCATTAGGTATATGGTCTATAATGGCTACTATAAGGTGATGTCCAATATTCCCAAAATGGGACAGTTACCAACCCCTGATTTTTAACAATCTTTAAGAATTGGAAATGGGAATGTAACCATCAAGAATGAGGATTTAACCATCAGAAGTGAAGATTTAACTTGATTTAACCATCAAACATGGGGATTTAACAGTTCAAATTGGTATTAAGTATTGACAATCAAAAACGGGGGATTTAACAATTCAAAAATAGAGATTCAACCATCAACAAATGGAGATTTGACGAAGCATTTCAACAAGAACTCGATGGTTTGGGGTCAGGTTGTTGGGGGTACCTTGCAAACAAACACTATAAATAAAGTATATAGGGTTTGTCTGAAAATAGGCTACCACTTAAAATCTCATGGTTTATCTTATCATCATTTTCCTTATCAAGTGGCCATTTGGGGTCATACCTCATTTTCAGACACACCCATATATCATCATATATCATGGTACCGCTATCATATGGTTTTGTTAACCACACATGAAATGGTATTTTGTGACAGGACAAACCGGCTGACCGGCTGATTATTTTGGGGACCACCAATCTTTGTGTCAGGGTTTTTGGGTGGGTAGGGTGCCCAAAAACAGTTGGTTCACGATCGTTTTCTCCCTGAACATTAAAAGACCCATATATATATATACATATATATATATATATACATAAATTTATATATATATATATATTCCATGTATTCCCATCTATTCCCCCATTATCCATATATATTTCCCATGTATTCCCCCATTTTCAGACCAACCCCCCCATGCGTGCTCCAAGGTACGCTTCATTCATGCAGCTTCTCCGAAGGGATCAGCTCCACTCCGGAGAAAGAAACGCCACCACTGGGCGTCTTGAGCCAGGGGTTGCCGTTGGGATCACTTGAAACCATGGGGGACTTCCTGTTGAAACAGTGCTAGAAATGGAAGTGGAAAAACCCTCCAGTCAACTCCAGTCAACTCCAGTCAACTCCAGTCAACTCCAGTCAACTCCAGTCTGTATAACATGTCTGGGCTGGAATTGCAAATGATCTTCCTGTGAAAGATTGTAGTTTTCCACTGTCTGATTTGCTTTTTCCAGGGCATGTACAACTATACCAAATCAATCCCCATGATGGCTGTTCTTTTGCCGAATGTTGGCCGATTTCAAGGACAACTCTCGAAAACCGGCATTCTTCTGAAAGCCAAATTTTGAGTCGCAACCGCCTCATCCCAACATCGCGACGACTTGGGTACACCACTACATACTATAAATTGGGTTGTAGCCCCCAGCATAGTAACTATCATAAACATCCATAAACCCAACAATGATCGGAATATATCGGAAGTATAGACCAACTTCATCCAACTACGCTATGGGGCACCAGTGGCACCAGCTTGTATATTGAGCGTTCTTTTTTTAAGCCTCCGCCCGCGTCTTCAGCGGCACCAGCTTCTGACCACGACCCGCCACGGGGGTGAAGTTGCGGGCCGCCAGGGGCGAGAAGAAGCGCCGGCAGCTGAAGGACCCTCCGGACTTTGGGAGGTCGAGGTCAGATAAAAGTTCATCCTTAGCTGCTGAAATGCTGGCGAATCGGGTATAGATTATTTGATCGGGATATTGGCGCACACGTTATATAATTTAATGCTATATATATATATGATGCTATATTTAGTTTAGATGGGCTGAGGTATGCCAATTTTTAAAGTTGGACAGTTACGATTCATCGGTGGATTTTGGGATATTCTTTGCTGAAATGATCTGAAATGTATTTCGTTGCTACAATCCTGCTGAGATGGATAAAAATGATAAAGGCGAGATAGGAACTCATTTGCAAATAAGCTCAGCATCATAAGAGACCAAATACCTTCAAAATTGTTGGATAGATGTACCCAGCATTGGTGTTGAATTGTTTTGTATAGCACGTATATATGTATGTATAGTATAGGCATCATGGACCAGTTGTCGAGGACAGATCAACTTCCTGCAAATGCAAACAAATCGTTTGGTCTGCTGTCACTATAACACATATATAGATGGCATGGGGTGTGGATGAGGCTTGGGACGTGCAATGAAGCCCCCATGTTAGCTGGGTCTCAAAATTAAAGACCCATATGTTGGTCACCTTGGTCATGTTGGTCATACACGAGACTGTTTTTGGGGTATCCAATTTTTTGATCTAACACGATGGTATTTGAGATATCCCAGAATAAAACTCGGAACATGGGCTCTGAGTTCGATGACGAATTTGGGAGTTCCAAAACTGATAAGATCTGATAAGTGATAGACTTGGGCACGTCAGGGCCGCAAAGGTAGGAGTTTGCGGTGATTCCCAACCGGTCCCAACCTGCCAGGTGGTTTCCCCCCACCCGGTATGGTCTCTTTTGTCTGCCGGCACCTAGAGGTAGCTGAGCACATCTTGGACTCTGCAGCTGTCACCGCCAAAGTGTTGATCGCCCCAAGTCACCACAGTTCCATCTGCCACATATCTGCTGCACATTCTGGAGCTGATCTTGGACTCTGGAGCTGTCACCACCACAGTCTGCATGGCCCCACGTCACAACTCTGTCACTTCCGAGAGACAGCACAAAGCAAACGCACTCCCACTTGCAGCTATCTTTGGCTGCTGGGTTACAGCTGCAATGCTGTCTCCATCTTGAAGCCCACAAAGTCGAATGGAGTCTGTTGGATCTAGAAGACGTCTGTCAGGTGCGGCAAGCCCCAGGAATCGTTGCCCGAAGGACTCCGCTCAGCAAGGAGACCTGGAGTCTGACGAAACTGTCAGCCACCTGACCGCTGACACGCCTGCTCTCCATGGCATGGATAGAGGGATATATAGCTGAACAGATTCTATGGGCCAAACATCAGCATAAAGACACATTTTCATCTGCTTTGTCATCGGAACAAATCCTTGTCATCTTTACATTATATCTTCTTATTCAGCCAATGAGAGCCAAACTGCCACCATGTCACCGTTCACCATGGAGCAAGTGATTAGTACTTCATGTATCAGAACAAAAACCTCAAGGGTTCTACCGGGTCTACAGTTTCCATCACTTAACAATCTCAAACCAAGGCACAGAGGAAAGCCTTACCAGCAACATGCCCAAAGGGCCATCCCGGTAGAGTCCTCAAAATCCTGGATTTATCCACAATGCATGTGTTTTTTGGCACGCTCTGACATAGAGAAATTTCCACTGACATGCTCGATTGCGAAGGTGTGCCGCTGTTTTGAGTGGTTGTTTTTGTTCTCGCTGGTCAGATCATGCGAGATAACTGAACATAAGTGAAAATGTCTGTGTATGAATCAAACTTGGGATGCACGGAAATACTATAGAATGACCCAAATCGGTGGGAACTAATTATCATTATCTTGCCATATCTCGCCCAACTTATCAAACTTTATCCCGATAAAAAACATGGTTATAAGCCATTTAAACATCGTTCAAGCTCCCCAAAATCATCATTTTTTCCAAGGCTCCAAGTAGGAAAACACCCTGGGCACCGCCACGAAGGTCTGCCCCCTGGGTCCCAAGGGCCCCACGCTCTCCCGCCAGCGCCGATAGCGTTGGCTCCAGGCGTTGCGCAGGACTTCAGGTGGCCAGCGGAAACGGGCCGCCAGCAGGGCTGCTAGCCTTGGACCCCGGGGCAACGTGGGAAAATCCATGAAACAAGATGAAAGACCAGTTTAAGTTGGATGATGATTATTGTTTTAAACTACATTATTAGTATTAAAATTATTTGTAAAAATATATATATATATATTATATATATGCCTATATATTATATATATACATAATAATCATATATATATATATATATGTACACATTGCAGTGCTATCATTGATGATGAATCCTCGAGCTTGGAGAATTCGGATGCCAAGGTGTTTCTCGAAAAATGGTGTACAGCAAATTCCTTCAGAGAGGTGTCCCACAATCTTAGGCCAGTTGTTTTTTTTTTCCGGCTTAACTTCAATGGCTTTGAGATGGATACATCTAAAGCTTTATGGGTTTACAGTGGTTTATAAAGCAACTTATAAATCTAGGGTCCCCACCTTGAGTTGTTCTTTCCCCCAGTAAAGTAACGTGACCGTGTTCTCTTGGATGGCAAGGGGTCCCAAAATGGACTTCCACCGCTCAACATCATTGGAATGATGGTAGACATCTTAAGCGAAACGAATGATTGTTCCCTTGATTTTTGAAAGATTTCCTGCACATCTCCCTTGACAATAGCTAGCAAGCAAGCAAGAAAGCGGTTCCATGAAACTCCATGCGAAGGTTTGAACATGCGTTTTGTTTGATTCTTGCTGTTGATCCCAGAATTGGCTTAAGGATGTTCAAGAGATGTTTCAACGAGTAAACGATAACCCTCTGTCTGGCCCAGTAAACCTAGAATTTCCGGTAGATTCTCTCCTTGAACCAACTGAGTGATCTTGAGTCTTCTATATCTCAACATCACCAAAAACTGAGCAGTGCCTACTTAACATGATTCGTGTCATCTCAAACTGCGGCTGGAGTAGAGTCGGTCCGGTTCAAATGTTGGGTCATAATGACATAATGACATGATTCCCCTGAAACGTTCTTGGGATACATATATAATATTATATAATAATAATAATTAATAGTAATAATAATAATAACAATAATGATAATAATATTGATAATAATAATAATAATTAATAATAATAATAATACGAATAATAATAATATTATTAATAATAATATTGTTAATAATAATAATTAATAATAATAATAATATAGTTACAATGTATATAATTCCACAACGTATCCCACAACTAATCATCAATGAACCAGTGATTTCGGGAAATGCTCGAATGGATTCCATGGGATTCAGCTGATCTCTGCAGCCAAGGAACCATTGCGCTTGAACGAAGGAGGTCACAATGTCACACGTGGTCAAGACGCGACCCACAAATGCCAGCCTGAGTTTGACAAACGGCAGGGATCTATGTTCGTGAAAGTACAAATGGCATTACCCTCTGGTAATGTCAAAATAGCTATTGAAAATGACCATTTATAGTAGATTTTCCCATTAAAAATGGTGGTTTTCCATAGTTATGTTAGTTTACCAGAGGGTAACATGCTTGAATTAAAAAGACCATGAATCACAATTTGAAATGTCTGAGCATAGACGTCAAGCTGGACTATCCACAAACCCGTCCATCATATTCCATCATCATTTGGGTTTCTGGGTTTCGCATCAGGCAATTCAAGAGACAAACCAACTTCACTTGTCAGTATCGCCAGTATGTTCGCCCCATTCTCCGTCATTTGGAGGTTTCCTAAGTCATGGGGCTCCCAAATCATCCAGTCGTCATGGATGACCATTTTAGTATTTATAGATATTTATAGTATCGAAACCCGGCAGCTTTTGGGCTTCCCCCATACCCATAGGATCCATGTATGCCATATATGCTAACATAAATGGGGTATATTGATGGGATCCATGTTACCATATATACCATACATGGATCCTATGGGCATAGGAAACCTGGTTTAACCTCCATGGCCGCGGCACCCGGGCAGATTGCTCGGCAAAATCAACTTGTACAGCTCCAGCGAGCCATCCCCTGCAGGGTCCAGCGATGCCAATGTCTCTTGGTCGAAGAGTTTAGACCAACATTCCTCGGCGAACGGCTGAGATGTTTTTTTTTGTCACCCTATATTGGGGGACCTCAAAGAGTTGTGGTTATGATTTGGATATGCTATATTTATGCTAGGCTATATTTATGATATATGTCCCATGGTCAAAACATGGGATTAATGTGGTATACGGTCATCAGCTCCCCAGAATCACAATGGAATTCTTGAGAATGAGGATGTAAATCCCTATGAATCGATTGATGACCATGCCCCAATATGGGAAACTAACCCGTGTCTTGATCGCGACACGTATATAACATTATATAACTACCTACTGAGCCTTTTACCTACTTTTTTGTGGGGTGGAAAAAAAACGATAGCTATTTTGGCGTAACCACCAAAAAAGATATCTATTTCCAAAAACCCTTAATTTACCTACTTTTTGGGGGTACTTGTAGGTTTAGGCTCAGTAGGCATACACTCCTGAATGGGGAAGATGGGTCTGATGCAGGCCATTGGTGGCCCAAAGTGGGTTCCCAGCTGGCATGAATACGCACATGAAGATGGTGAATCCATAAAGACTGAAGATATTTCGAACATAATCTTCAAAATTTGGATGTGACATAAAGATCCTCAACAGATAATGGTATTGAAATCTTTCGCATTTTGATTTCCCCGGATCTTTCTCCTTATCCACCATGCCAATGGTATCTCATGGTCCTTCCATTTGCTATGTGATGATCCACCTGAAGATCTACCCTTCCAGCACTGCCGGGGCCCTCATTTTTCCACGGCAGATCGGATGGGGGTGCACCATGTTGCACCTTGGATGGAAAACCCAAAAAGTCAAATAAGATGGAATGGCAATGGGCCAAAAAAACATACACTGACATTGTTTTCTTGTGATCATGCATCACCCCCGTACAACCAGAGCATTTTTTGACTCAAGAAGTGGTGTGGGAAGCCACTTCGCTTTTGGATCTTCCCTATACAATGGCTATGAAGTGTATAGGGCTTGCCAAGGAGTGGGAGCGGGATGAGCAGCTTCGTGATCGCTTGAGGAACGAGAAGAAAATCATGATTTACCCAGCAACGGATAAGTTTTGCAAACCAAATCGGGTCAACGCAGTGACCAATGAAATGATCATTCTGCCAGTGCTGAAACGATTGCAGGTCACACACAAAAAGAAGCTGCCACACCTTGATGACCTTACCGTAGAGGTCCAAACCCTTTGTGAGAAGACTGGACTTTCTACCGCTGATCGATTTCCCTACAAAACAAGTGTTGAGGTAAAAAAGATGGCAGGATTCATCAAGAGAAGAGTTCAGAAGAAGGAGGTGACAAAGGAAAAGGGTTAGGGATAGGGTTTGTTGTGAGGTTCCCTAGGACGGATAGGTTCCCCCGGAAAAAGTCTTGCTTATTGGATATCTGACCCCTGAGCCATTGTAAAATTTATTTGAATATAATGATGATAACGAAGAAGTAGTTTCCCTCCTTAGCCTCATTCTTGTAAAATTGACCCTGGCTAGGACTCGCGGTTCCATGTGCTTCTGCTTGCCCTGGACCCTAACATTCAGGACCTATGGCCATGTCATTGAACATCCCTTCAACCCTGAATGTTGATACATTTCTCAATTCTGTTTCTTATCACTGGTTCTCGGATGACATTTTGAAACCATAACATCGATGACCTTAGATTGCCATAGATTATGTTTCAATCCAACTTTATCCAATTTTATCCAATTCTACATCACCCTTGGTCAATTGTCCATCCAGGAAGCCATTGATGCCTACTTGAGTTCATGCCGCCGTTCAAGATCAAGTTCATCAGCGGAGGACGACAAGGACTCTGACGATGAGGAAGACGATGATCCCCAAACAAATCAAGAGTTTGCAGACTTCAAGAAGTGGTTGGATGAGGCAACCCCTTGTTCTGAAGCATCTTCATCACCGCCAGTTCCAACAACATGTGCCAAATGTGGTTGCGAGAAGTGTGAATGAACCTCGATAAAATTTATGTTTCAAAAGATCTTCCAACAAAATGAGTTTGGACTTTCCAACTATCAACCCTGAAACCGTACCTATATTTGTAGGAGGGCTGAATCCTACCATGACCATCTCATGCCCTTCACCGTGCCAAGGCGCTACAGTCGCTCAGCGAGTGCAGGCTGCCCGCAATTTGATTGCCCAGCGGCTGGCAGAGCTGAAGAAGCAGTCGGCAGAGACGCTTTTCTTAGTTTCGCTGGCTAGGGTGCGCTGGTTCATCCACTGGGTGATCCCAAAAATAACATGTTTTAATCCTAACTGTTATAAATGGCATTACCACCAAATATCTGATTGCCAGGAGGGATTGAATAATTGCCAACAATCCATGGGGCCCAGTGCATGCTACTCAGGAAACCTGGGTCTAAGAAGGTTCAGTCCTTTGGTGAGGGTGACAAGGTCAAGCCCGCAGGCAGGGGACTCAACCCAATAACATCCTTTTAGTTTTAATGGTTGAATATTGTCCTTTTTTGTGGTATAGTATCATGGTCATGTTGTTTCAACGATTCACTGATCAAATTTGTATGCAAACACCATTTTCCATGATAATGATTTTTACCTGTGTAAATTTGAAACATACCCCCCCTAACCCTTCTTATATGTTTTCTTTCTGAATTAAGTCACATGGTCTGAACCTTTGCCAATGCCATCTACTGGGTTCGTATTTCATCTTGCAGGCAGCAGGGCTGGGCCAGCTCATGATGGTGATGACACCCAGCCCATGGACTTGGACACGCCGATCGCTGACATCTTCAACCTTGAGATGCCAGTTGATGATCATGATGATGAGGAGATCCCATCTACGCAGCCTGACCTTGATGATGGTGATGATCGTGAGGAGGAGTCAGAGCCCCCGAAGGCTTCAGAGTCGGGGTGGGAAACATAATTTCTGAGACAATTTCATGGCAGCCTTTGACATCCAAGCGTGCATTGGGTTGAGGCATTTTAAGTGTTACCCACTCACTGCACATTTCTGTTCTCTGCGCTTTTGTCTTGGCCAGCCCAATCCTGGTTTTGCATCGTTCTATTCAGTGTCCAAGACTTTATTTTGTTTGCATCGTTGGGGTTGCATCTGCCACATGGCAGGTTCTGACACGACGTGATCAGCTGTTGCTGAAGCAGGAGAAGCAGCAGAAGAAGAAAGAGAATGACATGAAGAAGAAGGAAGAAAGTGCTGCAGCCAAGTCAAAGACTTCTACCAGGAAGCGCAAGGAAGCAGAACCTGCTGATGGAGGAACAGGAGCTGAGGTCGAGATTGAGCCTGAGAATGTCAAGAAACCGACAACTAGGGGCAGGAAGAAGAAGGTTCAGGAGAAGGTTGAAGAAACTCAGCCTGAAAGTGGTGAAGCTGCTCCATCCAAGAAGGCATCCAAATCGGATCTTGGAGAGAAGCCAAAGGCCAAGGCGAAGTCCAAGGTGAAGGAGAAAGCTGAGGCAAAAAAAGAGGCAAAAGCAAAGAGAGCAGGGAAAGCAAAGGCGAAAAGACTGCCCAAGAAGGCAGTGAAGGATGATGAAAGTGGAGATGAAGAGGAGACTGGTGCCCAGAAGCTTCGAAAGAAGCTATTTCAATCTGACGATGATGGATCTGATGAAAGTGAACACGAACGCTATGATGCCAAGACTGGCAAGGTGGAGCCGCTGAAGGACATCTTGGAAAAGTGCGAGGTGGACAAACACAAGGCCAAGAATCGAAAGCTTGGTGAGCCTGAGCCTGAGGAGAGCACTCCTAAGAAAGCCAAGGGCGGCAAGAACAAGACCAAAGTGAAGAAGGTGGATTTGTCGCCCTTTGCAAAGAAGGAAGTTTCTCGCAGAAAGAGGAAGGAGAAGGAAACCATGCATCAGGAGGCAAAGGAGGATGAGCAGATTCAGGGCATTGTGCGCCAACACCTGAAAAATGTGGAGAAGCTGACCTATGAAGATGTCAAGTTGTACCTCAGGAAGCACCTCACCAACAGCAAACCGCATGAGTTCAAGCTGAACGAGTACTGGGGGCGGCCAGCATGTGGCATCAAAGTTCCTGCACTTGGAGATGGGAGCTTGAAGAAGGCACCGGAAGTTGTCTACATTGGACGATATGGCACTTGTGCCGAGGGCTGGAACTACAACATGGCCTGTGTGTATGTCACAGCTTCGCTGATGGCTTCTTGGTTTGACCCATACATTTTGGGAAAGCATGAAACATGCAGTGCTTTTCAAATCATAGTTGCAGCAGTGGCCAGCTTCAGGTTTCAGTCAACTCAAGGGTGACCAGCATGTGTCAGCTTCTGCAGAGGCAGAATTCTTATATTACTTCATTGAACTTTCTCCTTATGATTCCAAGATCTATGTAACTGCATTTTTCTGGATGATTTTTCCCTGCACAGTCCTCCTTGCAACATCCAAGGCTTCTTGGTTGGAAGATCTTCCAGCTGAAGATTTGGAGGACTATGCCAACCCCACTGGCAAGGTTCAGACGCATCTTTTCTTCATGAAGTACAATGTGAGTGTGGCTGCAGCTTTGTTTGCTACTGCCCTTAAGAAAAAGTGATGGTTTCACAATCCTGGTTCGTCTACCAATCACATGGGTTGAGAAGTACCACTGGAAACATTGTAAACTAATCCCTCCTACATTGGAATCCCATTATGAAATTATATTTTGTATAAACTGATCTTTAATGATCTTTACATTGCTTGATCAACATCCGCAGTGGTGCGAGACTTCCGACCATGGTGACGCAGTGCAGACCAGCTTCAGTTTAGATCTCGCAATGCCAGCTCATATCGAGATGTGGCCCATCGATTTGCCTTAGCTTGGGGTGTTGGGAGCACAGGTGGGTGCAAGTACTTGCACTGATAAAGCATCTTGATATATAACCATGCATGTGGTTTCATCTTAAGCTTTGAAGATATCTGGATATGAATACTGGTTTTTGTTTTGGTATATCTGGATTGATATGAAAATCGGTTTTGTAATGTTATGTATTGTTATGTACTCTGTACTTTATGTTGCCCACTTTTTGGCCTGCCTGTGCAATGCTGGATTCGGTTTTCCCTTGGGGTAGAAGCCAGCCCAAGATGGCAATTCTGGGGTGATGGATATGTGGGGAGACCCTCACTGAAATCTCGCTGAGCTGACGGAAACAAAAGAGATCCTGAGCTTATCAGCATGCAATGGTAGGATGGATTATATCTTTACCAATTATGAATATATGATGTCAATCAATTATACTATTTGTGACTTGTTTCGAACATTGGTTGTACCACTTGCAAGTGTGCATACCAATTATTTATGGCCTACTAGCTGAATGTCGGGCTGATTTCATTGTGGTGGAAAAATTACTACAATTCAAATTTCATTGCCAAGTTTACATTCTTCCATTCCATTCAGTTATGGGTCCACTCTTCCCATTCCTCCCTGAAGCTTTCAATCCCAGCATCCGAAGCTGCCATGGCATGCCAAGGCCAGACACTGTGATGCCTGGGCTGAAAGGCCAGAAATGGGCTGTCAAGCTAGGCTTACTGGACGATGACTCTCGTGTTCCCAACATGTTTTGGCTGCTGGTGATTGGGGCGAAGAACAGGTACTCACTGTTGTTTTATTGAGGGGAATAAATAACATTATCCACGAAAAATCTCGAGGAGTTTTTCAAAAGTGAAATCAAATGAAAATCTTACTTTGTCATCTCAACATGAAGTTGAGTGTGGTCATGTGTGTGGTAAAATTTCAGACTTCATCAAAACCATGTTGCCTGACGAGAATACTGCATCTGCCTTGACTGGAAGCTGGTAGCTGTGACAGGTCAAGGTAACTGATTGACTTTGATGGCAATCCAATCCAACAAATTGTCACTTTTCATACAAGCCTCATTGTCACCAAGTCGGAGAAACATATGGTCCCTTACATGACATGCAGGTTTCCGGCAAATGGCTTGCATCTTTAAACTTCGTCTCACAAAGAGGGTTTAGATTGAAGTGCGCTGTGCTGGCATGGCGCGGACTAAGCAGTTTATCGACAATCTTTGCTGGAGGCTGAAAGCACTTGGTGCGCCCAAGGTGCATTTGTTATGTCTCGGAATGTCTTTTCAATCAGGATATTTACCTTCAATACTGGGGTCCAGAAGAAACCCATGTCCTGCTGAACTTGTTGCAGGTGCTGGTATTTGCAACATTGTTGCTTCTGTGGACGGATATTCCATCGCAGCGTTGGCAGGAGATAATGTATTGTATTTTTATCGGAATGCAGTTTTAAACATGCATGGGAATTCCAAATGCCCAAATCACATGATCTATACCATTGTTAGGAGTCAGCCATCAAGTTTCGCTTTGTGGAACTATTTGCTGGTCAAGCTGAATGCACCCGAATGTTCCGCTATGCAGACCTACCTTCAGCACGACTTGACTTGCTGTATATGAATTCCAATGACAACAACCAGAACCCAATGGATTTGTTGTCTGATGCTGGCATGGTGACTCTAGGAAAAGTTTGGAAAATAATCCTTTGGGTTGGAAGTGAAATCAGAATGACATGTGGTATCAAACTTTGTCAGCAGTTATGCCTGGTCTCTATCTCTACATGTCTCCATCCCAGTCCGAGGACAGCGCTGGCAGTTGTGCTACAGGGAGATCATGATGCAGGGTGGCTAGCACACTATGCTTTGAAGTGTTCATCATGGGTAGCAACAAATGCTGGGACCAGTTCTCGTTCAGCATGTAGTTCCATTGGGAACACTGAGTTTCAAAGCGTTAGAGATGCTAATTGCTTAGGGTCTCGGATTTTTGACTGCATTAGCTGACAAGCCATTCACAAGTGAATCTTTATGTGGGAAATAATTGCCATTTGTTGGTTGCTTTCTTTCCATCTCAGGATGTTACTATTGATGATGGTAGCAGTGTGCCTCAATGCTGCCATAACATTGGGGCAGCCGTTCTCAAGTGTCTTTGAGTTTTACCCTCGATTCCGGGAGTTCATGGAAATGTTACAACGGCATGGGGGCCAGGGGGCAGTTCCTTGGTGAAACACCAGCCCAATGTCCCAGCCTTTAGACAGGTTGCATATTGAAAGTGTCCAGTTTGAAGATCTTGTCCACAAAGTATTTCCTCATTAGTTGGCAGGTGACATGGGCAATGACAAAATATTCATATTCCTGATTGAAGGGCTACACCAGTTTTCATTAGGGACATGTTTCTCTGAAATGTTTTTTTCATGTGGGCCGACTTAAGTATAAAGTTTCAGAGAAAACCACCTTGGGATGAATTGATGATACACCAGGGGAAACAATCATTATATGTCAATTGTCTATCAGTATATAGTCTAGCAACCCATCAAATATAAACAAAATATGATATGGGTTTCCATTCTTTTTGGTGGACCTTAATTGCCACTGCATGTCCGCCCGCACAGGTGCACAGGGTGGAGTTCTATATGCACCACTATGGCGCTGCAACCCCTAAGAGGTTGTATGTGATTGGAAACTCGAGGCATGTCGGTGGTTTGAACAAAGGCAAGCTGAAGGGCTGGGCAAAGACCAAAAAGGATCTTCAGACCAAGGGGATGTCAAAAGACTTGGTGATCAAATACCAAGATTCCAAAGGACGGCAACGTTGGAAAGGAAGTCATGACATGAAAGCAAGCGAGTTGGGGTCTTACTTGTTTCAGAAACATGTTGTTTTGTGTTTACAGTTGAATGCCATGAAGCATACCAAAGGGCCATTCAATATTTGGGAACCCAAAATCAACCTTCTAAATGTATCCATAGGGGTTGCTTACACAAGAAACGGCAAACAATGTATGAAACCAAAATTTGAATTTGTCTCTTGACTCTCTCGGGGATTGGTTGTTCTATTCCCAGGTGCTATCCACCACGTTTTGGACTTGAAATGGTATCTCTATTTCATGACCTGGTCGCAGACAAGCATGGAATGCCTGAACTACCAGCAGTAGTACCAACAGCAGAGGAAACCTTTGCCAGCATGGACTTTAGCGATGTGTGGAGTGAGGCTTCCATGGTTTCAGTTTGTCATTACCTTCGGAAAGGTACTGACTTGAATGTGCCCCCAAGTTTTCGGAACTTGTTGCCTAAGAAACTTTAAACAAGTTTCAGGGGCTTCGAACCTTAGTTATGTTGCTCTTCGGCCCAGGTTCCCAGCTATAAAAGAAATATATCTGATTCGAATGGATTGATTCCCTGTTCGATCAGAAAAATCAATTCGAAAACCAAAATATCATGTTTTTACCCATAATTCGCCGTAATGCGTAACCATCCGTATTTCGTCGTAATTTGACCGTAATAACCCGGAAAAATATATATCTATTTTGGCGTAATACCAAGAAAAAGATATCTATTTTTTGAATTCCGACCATAATGGTTCATAATCGAACGTAATTTACCCATAATCGATTCGTTCAAAAAAGCTGTCTATTTCAAACGTAATTTGATTATGCGTAATTGACCCGTAATTTACCCATAATTTGCCATAATTTACCCATAATTGATTATGGGTAAATTTCCCAAATAGACAGCTTTTTTTCATCCAATCATAGCTTACTTTTCATTGATTTAAGATGGTTTCGGTACAACTTTAAATGGATCTGAGACAAACCTTTGGCCTGAGCTTTTCGCAACATAAAAATTCATATGTAGCGCCGTGTGCCAATTCATGGCAATTCGAGGAGGACTTATGCCAGTATTTCGCTGGGTTGGATCTAGGTCCATGAAGTTTGCAAGGGGATGAAAAAAAACAGAATTGGCAATGCCTAGTGTGGTAGCAAAGCTGTACATGCATTGGTATCCTCAAGTTGATCAGCACATCACATGATTTTTAAAATGCTAGTGCGAAGACATTTTGGCTGTTGGCACCATCCTAAAAAGGATTTCTAGTGGCTACGTAGTTGATGGCTTTTTGCAGAAGGGATACATCGCAGACTATGCTCTCGAAAGCTGGGTCGAACCTTGAACTTGGCCGTGGCCTTTCCCATATCCTTGAAGATTTGGCGAACAATTTACCTACTTCTTTGGATGAGTTACAGGAGCCTGTTGCCTATATACCTAAAACATATTCTCCCAAAACACATTCATGTTATTCCAAGTCTTGCATATGGTTCCCATTCAAATTAATATATAGATCTTATAATGTATATATTGCCCAAGCCTGCAGGACTTGGACAAGGAGCTTGCTGATTTGGAAGCTCAAGAAGCTTCTGTGGGGGTGACCTGGTCTTGCTGGGGGTGCCTAAGTAATTTGACAATTACCCTTGGTCTGTGATGAAATTCATTCCAGGCCATTGGAAACTTTCGAAACAAATGCAATCTTGTCCCAACGATTGCACAATATATCACAAAGTTGGCATTTAGAGCTATATGTCATGATGGATATATTTTAACCATATATGTATATAGGCATCCCAATCTAACCAATTCCACCCATGCCCTTTTGTGCAAGAAACCCTGCTGCATTTGATCTCGTGTGGCCGAGGTGAATTCCTTGGCAGAGCTGGAGGGCCTACGTTCCCAGGCTCCTAGACTCAATCAGTCTCACAAACAGTTTTCTGGCCCATATGTTACATTGTTTTTTTCCTCAGAGTATGGGGGTTGCTGTTGTAATTTCAAGTTCAATGTCATTGGTTTGATGCTAGACCCTTATCCATGGCTGATACTGTTGTCTTCCTACTTCTCCATTGCCTGGAATGACGCTAAGGCTTCTCCGCAGAATAAGCTTCCAGAGGAGACACTGCCAGCTACGGAATCCCAGTTAGATGCATCTGTCCGTGGAACACCCCAGTCTGGTCCTAGCAATTTGGGGACTGGTAGTGACGTTGGAAGCCATGCCCCGGTTTCCCCAGCATCTTCGCTACCCAGTTCCAAAGGCTCAGATGAGGTGACTTTCAGAGAATTAGACAACAGTGTTTTTCAGTTCCCAGGGAATCCCATGCAAATTAAATACTATCAATGTTCCAGTGAAATTCAAATATTTGAGGTGGTTTACATTATTACTTGGTGTATACATTTATCATATATTGCCATCACTTTGTCCAAGAGATAATGCCCCTAGAAACCTTATTTACCATCCGCCCCACTGGCCCAGGTGACCCTTCGTATCGTGGACATGTATCAGCGAGGTGAACTTGATGCTTCCGTCGCCATGCAACTCCTGGGAAGCGGGGTTGGGGCAGTGCTTCCAGAAACGAGGGACAACAAGCCTGGTGGGGTGAAGAGGTCTCGTGATGAAGGGGATACTTCTGAAGTTGAACCCGACAAACCGGATGAAGAATCCCTGGACGAACTGTTGGACCAAGCAAAGCGAGCCAAGATGGAAACTCTGCTTCATTTTTTGGGTGCTATAAACATCCATGTCAAGATCTATTGACATACTATTTCAGAGGGTTGGCATTTCCTATCCCTATCAATCCCTTCTGGTTCTTGTGGCCATGACTGATAAGGAAGACAACGCACTCAAAGCGAAGTTGCGCCGACTGTGCGAAGCCAAGAAAGATGGTAGACTCAATGTGCCACAGTGGTTGCATGATCAGTGGCGAAATGGAGACCATCTGGCCATGGCCAGGGAATTTCAGTCTTGCAACTTTGACAAGGCCCATTCAGAAACTAACAACATAGATTGTTGCCAAGTAGCTTCTTTGAAGAGGTAGCCATTGAATCCAGCTCTCCAGATCATGCCCATGTTCTTGGGGAACTGCTCATAGTGCCCCATCTCCTTGCAGGATCGCTTCATCAAATACAAGAAGAGGACAGTCACCAAGACCGACAAGCAGCTTTCGGACTTGTCCGTGGGGTGGTACACGGAAGAAGACATGATCAAAGTGTTGAAATGGAACAAGATTCTTGGAATAAAAAATCATTAAACAAATCAACATCCAAATGCACCATTTTTTTGGAAACACCATCCATGTTGTTTTCATTTCCCTCAGGAAGAAAATTGCTGGTGCTAAGAAGTGCTGTGAAGCTGACCCGAAGAACTTGGTCAGGCCACAATAACACATTGACAAGTTGATGGAACAAAATAACATGTGATGAGAACAAACCACGTAGTTGATGCATGTTGTGTACATCTTAATGTGTTGCAGCTTCCTGCATGTTTTTTCACATGCCCTATAGGCATTGCCGGTATGGTGGAGATGATGAATACTATGTCCATGTGCGTGAGACCGGCAACCACCAGCAAGAGAACACCCGAAGTGACCAAACGGAGGAAATCACACAGGACTGGTAATGTCTTAATTCATTGCCACGTTTCCCACTTGAACCAGCCAGGCACCAGCTGAACCTGCCAGGAAAATGGACCACCATCCCTTCCCGAAGTTGACTTGGCCAGACTTGAGGGCAATCAAGTACGTGAAAAGGCTGCACTGAGTGCAGCAGTTGCTGCAACCAGTGAGGCTAGCTATGTCTGTATTTTTTACCAACAAATATTCCAACAATTCTTTGGGGATGATGTTTACTCAATTTTCTCACCAACCCAACCCCTGTTCTTTCTATATATGCTGATCTCAGCTTCTGATTTATGAATGTTTGTGTCAGGCCAACAGGTCCAAAGATGTCTTTTGCAAACACGTGGAGAGTGTCCTTTCGAAGAGTGCCAAGATTTGATCCCTTGTGGGAGATTTGCAGCGCAATTATCCCACAGACCCCACAGCCCGGAAGTTTCTCAGCTTCAAACATGTTCAGGAGATATTGTGTAGTTTCCTTGTGGTCAAAAAACAGCTAATTACTGTAAATCAAAACCCAAGATTCCAATCTTCACCCACAGCCCACCTTTCTATCAGGGCCGTGGCCACCTTGAATGGTGATCTCAACACCTTGGACGGTGAGTACAACACCCTTTCCAACCACATGGCCGAAGGAGAGCGGGATAGCTTTGACAAGCCGTGTCTTAATGGCATAGTGTGATAACACAAAAAAATTGATGATACTTATGGGGAAATAGCTCCTCAATGGTCCCATTCTCTTATGAACATGATCTGAAAAAACTCCCAGGTGGACTGAAAAGGCCGAAAAGATGATGAAAGCTTCGACCTTTGTGTGCCCAGGTAGCAGTCTTGTTTAAAAAACCATATTAAAACCCAAGTCACTACAGCATTGTGTTATGCAGAAATGCCACATAGAACTGGTTTGGTCTCTACAAGCCACATGTGCCACTGCCCCAGGTGCACCAAAGTTGCACAAAACGAGGCCAAGATTCGGTCAGGATCTCAAAGCCCGCACTGTCACTCCAGCAGGTCTGAAGGTTCGGCAGGTCAACAAAGTTGTTCATACCATACCTGAGAGCGTTTAAGCATCAACATGCCCATACATGCCCCACTGATGCCCCATTAGAGTAGTATGAACCTAAGATTTTCTCTCAGCAAAAACCGCTTTCTTCCAGGTCTGCCAAGCGCCACTTCAAGAAGAAGGACATGGAGGAAGTCAAGGAGGAAAAGTGATGGCCACTGATCCGTGAGGGCCTATTTGTTTCAGATGCCAATGTCACAAAACATGTTGGCAACCATTGGCGTACAAATTCTTTAGGGATCGTGTTTTTTGATGCAATCCAAATTCATGGGGTGATGGGCCGATCTTGTGGTGCACTACTCCCACAATTCAACATCCCAGTAACCTGGATTTACTTATCTATTTTCCATGAGGTTGTTTTAGGAAACCCACCTAAAGCATAGAACCCAGATAACTTAGAAACTTTAAAATTGTATCTTTGGGGTTTGCACCATGGATGGCCTGATGGACAAAGTTTAGATTCATGCGGCCTAGCGAAGTGCTTGGTGTTCCCTCTGAGGAAAATGATGTGGGATGGGAGCCTGGTGTTTATTTTCTTACATCTGTACAGCCTTTGTGATTCATTTGTAATTTCCCCCAACTGACCCACACCATGCCCTGGAGGTCTGATTTCATACAGCTAGATCCAATGTATGAAATCAGACTTCCATCCCGGTTCATTGCATCAAAGCTGCTGCCAGGTTCTCTTGGACAAACTGCCAAACGCTTGGCTGCCAACATTGGCGATGGCGCCATGAGCTGAGTGGGAATTTCCAGTGTTGTTGCAACCTGCTTGGTAAATTCACCTTTCAATCCTCCAACCACCTCTTGAAAAGTGGAAGCTGTTGGCTCTGGACATCTATATTTGCTGATGTAGGCTGCCAACAAATCGATACTTTAATTTACCGTTTCAATTTCACTATTTACTGTACATCCCACAACAACATAGAAAATCTATCAGTGAAACCACATTACAAGTTTTCAGTCACAAAAATATATTGCAAAAACTCTGTGTCATCGTGCCATGGAAGATTCGGACGATGAGTTGGTTGAGTTGCTGAGCTGTCACCGGCCAGCTACTTGTCAAAGTTATTCACTCAAGTCACCATGTGTATAATGTGTGTGTTTGCGTGATATTTTCTTTAGATTGGATCTATACTGAGGCTTCTTTGGGGCCTTATGCATGGCAATACAAACAGGAGAAACATGTCCGGTGCATTCATCGGGCCAAAGGTGGACCAAACCCAGAAAATCTGCCACTTCAAGGTAGTGCGCGAGTTGGTGATGATGTTAGGGGGCATGTGTTGTCCCAATCTATGGTGTGGAAAGATATCTATCTCCAGCATGATGATTTGGCAGGATTACCACGGTCCCAGGACGTCTTCCGGAAAATTGAACAGGACCCATGCCTCTCTTTGGATATTCCCAAGCCACGAGCAACAGCTGGTGGGGTGTTGCAACACAGTATCAATTTATTTGAGAAGCTGTTGGAAGCAAACAAACCCATGTCGTTTAAGTTTGGGATCACACATGATCCTGCCATCAAGTGGCACAATTCCACCTTTGGATATAAGGTATCAAGGGAGAGGTTCCAGCATTTGATCGCCATTTATGCAGCTTCGAATCCTCATGGACCAGCATTTTTGGAGGCGGCACTTATAGACCGCTTTGGAAGTTTCCTGCTTGCACAGTCTTATGACATGCATGCTTGGTTTTCCTCCATGGCCCATGGCTATGTGATGTTTTTTTGAAAGTGCTGATTTGCCATTCTGATCTATACATTTCCTCAACTAAGGCTTGCAGGGGTGCAAAAATGAACGTCGGGGTGGAGATTCTTTGAGAGATGTTGACTCTGGACCCTACTTTACATATGTTGTCTATATGTCTTGGAGACGACCAAGCATGCAGGTAAAAAGCCATGGCATGCCAAAAGATGTGTAAAGGAAATTAAAAGGTATCCTTTGATGCCAAGAGCTTGCAATGTTTAGATTACCGTTCCAGACGTTTTCAAGTCTTTGGAGTGGTTGCGAACTTGTTGGACCTCAATTGGTCTTCTGGAAGCCTGGGGGGAAAATGCTAGCAAAGTGCTGGTTTTGTGGTGGGCTGCTTTCAAGCTATGTTGTCCTCAAGTAAGTTTTGTGCATTTGTTGTGCAATGCCTGCAATCACCTGGCAAAGGGGTTTAGTTTACTCATTTCATTCAGTGTGCTGCTGAGGCCAGTTGTGTCAGCCAGATCCTCACAGCGCAAGCTGTGGCTGCTGATATGGGAGAGGGGCGATCGGCTAGCTGTGGGGTGGACAAGTGGGCATCCTGCAACTTGCGACATTCAGAAAGGGATGCCCAGCGAACTATGAAAAAACAAGGGACAAAACTAGATGTACCTATCACATCAATTTCTTGCGATGGTGTGAACCTTCCATGGATTGCCCCTCAGACATGGCTACGTTTTGTCATCAAGAAGGGGCTTTGGCCAGTGATGGCTGGATGCGATCGTTTTGATCATGATGGGGCCCGTCGCAATTGGTCTGATTTTTGGACTGAATATAAGAAGGTCAACCCTGGTTTTGAACTTTTTAGCATGCCAAATGTGGACCTGTCTAGAACTGCGGCATGGTTGGTGCATGGGGATGAGGGCAGAACACTGAAGAAAAATGGGATTATGATAACATCTCTACAAAGTGCCCTTGGCCGTGGTTATGATGAGAAAAGGGTGGCTGGTCCTCCAGGCAAATTGCGAGTTAATTTTGCTGGTCATTCTTTTACAACAAGATACATTGTCAGTGCTACTCCGAAGACTGTTTATGAGTCTACACCGGAAGTTTTCCACAGTAGCATTGAGCATGTTGCCAAGTCCCTCAGCAAGTGCCTCCATGAGGGATTTGTGGATGTTGCAACTGGTGAAACATTCAGGGTGGCAGTCTTGGGTGTCAAAGGGGATGCTCCTTACCTTGCAAAGGTAGCTCACTTCTACAGGTCATACAACACTACAGCTAAGCGAGGAGAAGAGCGTGGCCCCCCGAAGGGCATTTGCCCTTATTGCCTTGCAGGGACAAATGGTTTTCCAGCCGAAGAACTTTCAACACTGGAACCTCGTTGGTTACGAACGATTGGGGTAAAGCTTCCATGGGTGCGTTGTCCATCGCTCATCCAAAATCTTGTTCATGACCGTGGGGATCCGGCAGCTTTCTTTAAGACTGACCTGTGGCATGTTGTGCATCTTGGTTTTGGTCGCAGCTGGGTGGCTAGTGTGATTCAACTTTTGCTGAGTTACTTGCCATGTGCAAACCTTGATGAAAAATGGGATTACCTTACGACACACTACTTGCGTTGGTGTACTGCAAACAAACGACAAGCACATGTGGCAAAAATAACTGGATACCTCATGTCTTATGGTGATTCCAGTGGAGCTATGGGAAATTGGCATAAAGGAGCACTCACAAGCAATTTCATGCATTGGTTGATCGACTTATTGGGTGACGTGCGGGGTGAACCTGGTGGCTTGTTGGTGCAGTGCAGATCGGCTACGTATCGCATGAATACAATGTTTAGTCTTTTGTACCGTGCCGGTGCTTTTCTATCTGAACAAGAATGCTCCTTCGTGTCAGAACAAGGGCTTCAATTTTTGAAGACCTACTCAATGTTGGCTGGACGTATGTTTGGGGCCAGCAAACAGTGGATGTTTCCCCTGTATCCGAAGCTACATATGTTTCACCATCAGATGCTGGAGATCAGGTTTCTTGGCAATTCCGTGAAAACAGCAGTCAGTCCGATGATGTTCGCATGCCAGATGGATGAAGATACTGTTGGAAGAAGTTCCAGGCTCAGCCGTCGTGTCAACATACGACGTGTTAGTTTGAGAACGCTGGATCGTTACCTTGTCAGTGCATATGCTGCCCATGCAAAAGCGGGCCTGCTGGTCTAGCCAAAAAAGGCACTATGTGGCGCCAAATGCTGGAACCTCTTTGATCCCTTGAGGGTTTGATGTTTGTTGAACCTATTGATTTATTGCAATCTATGTTGACATACATGGATTCAGAATGCATTGTTCACATGCTATGCTGGTGTATGTTGAAACCTGATTATGGCCAAATAAAAAACGACATCTATTTCTGGAAATCGACGTCTTTTTATTTTTAACCCAAAAAAAAGAAGGTTTTTGTGGGTCTAGGTATATATAAACTATATTAACAATAATTATAGTAACCAATGATATTGTCAAATTATGGTTCAAAGCTTCGAGTGTAGTGACATGCGCTTTTGTCATAGCAATATGATGAGAGTCTGCAAACATGGGGTCGAGTATGATCGCCTCTGGAGCAATGTTCATAACTTCCAGCAACTTCGTTGTCTATGCATGTCTATGCATGTTTATGCTGCGTTTTGGATGTGCCAATGAGAGGCCAGAACACTTTTTGCACAACATGTTTAGACATGTATGTCATCCATTGTGATTCATTTCCCAACAAACCAACACAAGTAAAGCTCCAAACAATCGCCTGGAGTCAGTGTAGCCCGTGGCGAAAACCACCACATCCGCTTTTCGCTCGATGTGCTGCTTCGTCGTCGCATCTTCGACCAGAACACCTGTCCCTGTGAAGCCTAAAATCTCCCCGCGGATGCAATGAGCATTTGGTTTGTCGAACGCCTCCTGACGTTGGGTTCCAATGTAAGGATGGTGACCAGCCCAAACTCATGCAGTCAATTAATATCACTCCACCTATCGTTCATGTGTCACATGGCAATGGAAAATCCATTTATAGAGGATTTTTTTGCCCCAAAAAAACACCTCCGTTTATCGTCCGTTCATGGGGCCACAGGCCTTGACCTTCTGGGCATTGCAAATGGACACAGAATGTCCATGCCACAGCTGCCAACGCAACGAAAACTTTGGTAGCATCGACCAAGGTAACCAGAAATGCACCCAGAGGATTGGCGACAAAATCCACCACAGTAGCGTCTGGAACGGCCAAAAGAGATCTCCCAAGAAGCGACGAAGGAAGCTGGCATCGTGGTAAGGTGGAAACACCAGATTGGCAAACCATCGTGTCGATGCCAAATATTCCTCGGGTTTTTTAGCATTTGGAATTCCAATACTTGTCTGGCTCATAACATCGCGAAAGTTGCACAGGAAAGGCTGTGCATCAGGTATGCCTGGTATGCCTCAAGAAACTAGGACTGCCATGGACTCCCCCATTGTTGACCTTCCCTGTACATTGCTTCATGCAAGTCATGGGGTCAAAAATGGTCAGACTCATCCCCAGCTGACAACTTTCGGCAGAGATTCCAAGGGAATTCCCAGAAATCTCTGAGGCAAAATCCATGCGGGGCTTCGAGCCACCAACGTCACAGAACTTGCCTCTTTTGCAGCCAAGATGAAGCAATCCTGAGTTATGCTGGAGGCTTCTCAAGCTGCAGGATGCTCCACCGAACTTCCAAAAACATGGAAAAAACATGAAAAAAACAATGACCATGACCAGCTTGACCGTTCTTTACCTTTGTTTAATCATGTTTAGGCAATCCCATAGCAATGACTCGCATCCATTCAAGTGCGATCATAAAGAGATCAACTGGATTCAACTGCTACACCCACATCATGAATGATGGATGATGATGGATGACGCCCTGCAGAATCGGGCATCAATCATTGACAATTCATTGACATACTGAGTTTCTCAGATGGTCAACCGATGTCAGCCGGGTATACTGAGTAGTAACTAGGCAAATGCAATCAACATCTATCAACTGTATCAGGAAAAAAAACCAAAAAACAAAAAAAACACACACAGTCCACACTGCAGAGAGTCCAAAGCAGATTTGCCATAGCCTACGACCACCACATGATGCTCGCGCACCAGCTCAGGCTCCAGCAAGTCCGAGCTATGAAGGATCTGTCCCATAAAACTCTCAGCGCCGGAGACTTCCGGGAGAAATTTCTGGTTGAAGTTTCCAACCGCCAGCACAACAAAGTGAAAGTCCTCACTGGTTCCATCATTCAAAGCCAACCTCCAACATCCATTGCCTCGCTGCAGATGTTGAACTTCCACCCCAAGGCGAATGAAGGGTCGAAGGGAAAAGGTCTGGACATAGTCTTCGCAGTGGAGCTTCCTTAAGAGCGGCCACGAGTATGTGAAGGCAGATGTTTGACCCCTCTGATTTGACCATATTTGAACCCTCTGATCTCTAGCTTCTGATTTCTATGAATAAAAGTTGATTTAAGGAACCCATAGGAACCCTTTTCACAGGTCATTCAAATGTATCATTTTTGAGGCTTCCTCCAAAATCATCCACCAGAATTTTCGATCATCTCCACGGCACCAAGTGGCAGTTGCCGAGCAGTTGGATAGACATCCAAATGGCTGGAGCTCAACTCAACAAAGGAATACCTTTCGGCCCCCCAGGACTGGAAGGATAAGCAAACCAGCAAAACCTGGTGCTTTTCGAAGAGTAACCAGATCAACATGTTGGATTTCGGACATTCAGATGATCCTTTTCAATCCTTTTCAACAAAACAGGTAGCAAGTAGACTAAAAAAAATCTATATTAAATACTTCAAACATATAGATCTGCATAGTATATCGCAGCAGCGACCGGAAACAACTACTCCTTTCGAACATCAAACACATAACAAAATGTGAAAAACTGGCCGGTGGTTTCACTGCCTCGTCAGTTGGGATCATTGGGATCATCCCCCCATTTGGACACCTGCAGCCACGTAAATATATGATGCTTCCATACATTGCATCAATGGTGGTTCCAACACCCCCTCAAACAATAGATAGCTATAGACTAAATAGATAGCTGAAAGTCGGAACCATCATTCAACTTCATTGGGGTCTAAGGCACTGCTCCCTTTTCACCTGCGCCCCATATCCAGCGTAGTTTTGTCCTCGCCACACACCACCGATGTCCTCCGACTTCTCGAAGAGGACCTGAAAAGAAGAGCTGAGAGCCACGAGCCGCTTGGTAGTTGGGATTTTTACCTTCATGGGTATTTTTGGAAATGGGGTCGGCATGGGCCCAAAATGGCTAGTTTCATAGCAGACATGCTAAACCCAAAGGATTTGGGCGTACCCTATCTTCAGACAAACTATGACAAACTCATACAGGTCTTTTAGGCGAACAACAAGGAACACACATGGTGAAGTCTATTGGGATGTGGGGGGAAAGCATGGAATTCAACGAACAACAAACAACCAACATCAAAACACATAGAAATTCGACCAACAAAAAAGGGGAAACCCATCCAAGTTGGGTCAGTTTGGAGCAAACTGACCCATGTCATCCCATGTCAATACCTCATAAGCTATAGACCTATAATAGATGTTGCTCGATGTGGACGTGAGTGTCAACTCATGAGAGTTGAAACTGCAAGAACTGACAAATCATCTTCTACAGGAAAAGAAGAGTGAGCTGCGATCCAGTATGATCCAATCATGTTGTGTTCCATCCATCGTTTTCAACGGATAAGAGACAATTTTCTCCAGCTCCGGTAGATTCTCAAGCGCACGCAGCGCTTGCAAGCCAGCAACCCCACCACCAATGATAGCAATGCTTTGAGGTTGCTGAGGAAAGGCTGCCATGGCAGCAAGGCGTTTTGGAAAAAAATGGTGCAGTGAAGACAATACTGAGGATATGTGTCGTCAACCAGTGAATTGCCTTCAGCAATGATACGGATATGATAAGGACATGATCAACAATAGTTGGGATGTAATATGATGTAATGAACGTTGGCATTGGGGATATCATCAACCATCATTCGGTATGTTGCCAACGATATAAGGGCAAGTATACTCAAGTCTGCAGTTGATTGGCAGCCTCAAGGGCCGACGATTGTCGCGTATGTAGCTGCTGCTTCTTGAGGACAGACGGACAGCTCCGACGAATCGGATCCAATAAAATGCCAAGTTCTCCAAGGAGCAACCACTGGAATTGATGCCTGTGAATCAACTCCCACAGGGCAGAAGGATCGACCCATTACTCCAAGGACCCTCCAGTAGAGCAACAGAGCTATGGAAAATAGATCAATTATCAATTTATAAATTATTTACCTATAAATCTAGCGATTCTCTACCGCTATGTTAGTTTACCTCAGGGTATCTCAAGTCTTACCCCCAGATTCCATCAGGGTTCCATCCTGCCAGCCCTGCACCCTGTTCGCTGTTCGGAGGTCTCAAGCCATCCAATTTGTCGGAAAAAGATCTGATCATTTTCTCCAAGGGGGGAGGAGACAAATGAATCTAACATGTTTGAAATTGCGACCCGCAGGGGATGTCGTGCAATTCTCCTGTTTTTTCCAAGCTGCAGTGCCGGCGATGATCCACAATGGGCCAGATTCAAACTGCCCGAAAACTGCTGGTTTTGCCTTGCACCACAAACTTGGAAACTTATCTTGAAGAAATGCATAGTTATCAACATCTTGCCAGTTGGTGTTGGCTGCATATAGCCATCATTCTTAATTCATATACAGTAGTATACCCCTTGTTGAGAGAACCTGCTATCCACTATTTATACTTGATTTGTACCCATTATTCCTATATGTTTGCTTTATGGTGTATTTAAGTATCACTGTCTACTATTCACGACTGTATTTACCTCAGAAATGACAGGCCCATTTACGTATTATATGGTACATCTAAATAAACCAGCAACATGGAGTATACAAGATTTAGTGCTCAAATTGGCTGGTCTAAAAAAAGTGTTTGAACACGTTTGAACATATATATATATACAGTACATATTTGAATATACATATTCAATTAGTTACATTTACGCTGTAAATATCCCATAAACATATACCGGCATATAACCTTGGTGATAATGCCCCAAGACTCCCTTGCAAGGCAAAACAACTCAGGTCCGTCGACTTTCCTCGCACTTCGGAATCGTTTTTCGCACCCCTGGGCGGCACCGTTGTGTGATTGCCAGCTGAGCAGGAGGTTCTCCAACATGGCCGTTGGCCATGGTAAAAAAACATGAACATCCCATGAAACTATATAGTATATAACTATATGGGAACGGCGCCTCTCGAGGCGCCTGGTGGTTTTTTTTTGGGAGTTTGCGTGCACTTCCCAATGTAACTGCGCATGCAGCCTTGCACGCCTGTTTTTGTTCACCTCTCAAAAACCACTTCAATCATGGAACAATTTCAGTGTAACATGAACGTTAACATCCCACCCCACCCCATGATCAACGTAACATCATCAGCGGAACATGAACATGAACGTTACCATCCCACCCCACCCCATGATCAACGTAACATCATCAGCGCAACATGAACATGAACGTTAACATTCCACCCCACCCCATGATCAACGCAACATCATCAGCGTAACATGAACATGAACGGTAACATCCCACTCCACCCCACTCCATCATCAAACAAAAGCAGAAAAACGCAAAAACACACAAAAAGACAAAACACCCAGGCGCCCTGCAGCGCCCATGGCAACTATATATATATATTATAATATATTCATGAATATATATATAATATGAAGCGATCCTGATTTTGCAGATAAATCCATTGCAAAAAAAAGAGGTATTCACGAGCATCAGTTGCAGGTCATTTTGAATAACTTAAGGGTTCCTTTTGGCAACTGGTACGGCAGGGCATTGACCGACAGCGTTGCGACAGCGATTCGAAGAAATCACAGCAATCCCTTCCCCCTAATGTTAAACACAGAAACCATGGTTTAGTAGGGGACATAGTTATAAGATGGTTTATAAACCCCATTAACTATAGTTATAGGTACCATAAACCATAGTTATTGGAGTTATAAACCAACTTAGCTATCTTGGGGGCCCCACTTTGTACACATAATTAAGGGACCTTTTCGGGGCTGTTTCACATCAGAGGGATAGGATTACACCAACAGCCAGCCGAGTGGCTAATCAGCTCACCGACTTCAGGAACTTGGCGGTCCTTGGCGAATGGATCAACATCTCCCCTGCTAAAGCAGTTCACAGATGTTCACACAGCCTAAACAAAAAACATCAAAAAACAAATAACGGATAGATGGAATCATAGACACTTCGAGAGATGGATGGATAGATAGATGGATGGATGGATGGATAGATGGATAGATGTATATATATATATTCTTTGTTTTTTTTTTCCGTTCCGCCTTCAAATGGTGAAATCGGATGAAATTGACGGGTCTGACCCATGTAGCGATCATTTTTTGGGCGTCAACGCTGGTTGAAATTCCAGGCTTGACCTTGATATCCTTGATATAGTTAATAATTTTTAAGCAACATCTAGTAGGTGGCGTGAGCTGGACACCCAAAGGGACCAACTGGATAAGATTCATACACATTTTGGTGCTGAGGTTCCTCTAGCTCAATTTTGGGCCTGAGCCCTAGGATCTTAGCTTGAGGCCCCAGACGGGGATTATAAGACAAATAAACAAACAAATACAATTGCGTGATATCCCCATTCAATCCCATCAAAGTGAGAAACTCAATGCCATAAAACCTACCATTTGGGGATAATTCATCACATCAAAATGGTGATTTTGTGGGTGATGTGTTTATTATTGTGTTACCCACATTGTCTAATTGATTGGGGATTATGATAACCGTCTGATAACCCATAGTAGGGAAACTTGTCAACCAACCAATATCAATAATGAGATTGTTTAAACCATCCCCAAAATCACCATAGATTCGTATAGATAGGTAATATAAACCATTCCCAGTCATGGGTGGCTTATTATTGTTTTACCCACAGTACCCTCTGGTAAACTAACGTAACTATGGAAAATCACCATTTTTAATGGGAAAACTCACTATAAATGGTCATTTTCAATAGCTATGTTAGTTTACCAGAGGGTACATCATGCCATCTGAGGCGCTCCGCGGAGCGCGGGAACTTCTGCGCCAGGCTCAAGGCTGCTTGGGCGTCGGCGCCCCGATCCACCAGCAGACGCGCCACCTGGGCTGTGGCGGGGTTTTCCCCAGGTTTAGGGAGGTACCCTCTGGTTATGTCAAAATAGCTATTGAAATGGCAATTTATAGTGGATTTTCCCATGAAAAATGGTGATTTTCCATAGTTTCTTGTATGTTTACCAGAGGGTAGATGGGGAACCAAGCATCAAGAATGGGCTGGAAATCAACGGAAGTTGACCAACATTCAGGATTCCATCAAAATTGAAATGGAAGCTTATGGGGGATTAAACCAACAAAGTTATGGGGAACAGAACCCAGCTATTGTTTTGGCAGATATTTACTGGGACATGATGGGATATGTAACCGACAACATGATAACTGGGTGTGCCTAAAAAGAGCTATATCTCCAAATTGCCAAGGGGAAAGGGTCCTGGATTTGGGGGGGACCTTATTTATCTACAATTTTACAAACAAACCCCAGTTGACGGCAAGGAAACGATCAGCGGAGAAATGAGCTTATCTGCGCCAAGAGATTGGAGGGAATGAATTAAACCCTGCGGATGGTTGCGAAATCCTGCACCACCAGTTTTGGATGGTTGAAACCCTCAAAAATCCTAAAAAATCATGGGAAAAAGTAACAATCAACTGGTGCTGGATTTCTTCCATCAGTAGTTTAGCCATGAAGACCCCCTCACTAAGGCCCGCCTCAAGGCGATTGAAGATGGCTGCCAGCTTCAAAGCAGTCATTCCATCCTCCGGATCCATCGAAACAATCGAACATGCCGGATTCTCCTCGCAACGCATCCTTTACCATCTGGGTATGTCGAAAGCCTGGTTTAGCCAGGTTAACATCTGGTTATTTAACAGTTCGCCATGGAAGCCATGGCCCATAGAAATAGATGGTTTACCTATTAATAGCATGGTTTACCTATTAAATTGCCCATTTATAGATGGTTTACCTATTAAAAATGGTGATTTTCCATGGCAAACTGCTAGTCATAACCAGATGGTATCCACCATGACGGTTTTTAGATCAGGACGCTCATCCTCGTCCGCAGCGTTCAGGTTCGCTTTGGCAGCCAGGAGGTCTCGCACCTGTCAGCTTCGCGAACCGCGTGGCCGGACAGCCGGACATAAGGACATGGCAGCCATGGGAACCATGGCTGTCTCTGTGGTTTATCCGGATTGAACAAGATTTAAGCAACAACAATGGAGGTTTATCACCAACCATAATGGGAATGAGACGTTATGATATGTTATAATAATATATAAGTTTATACAACCAATGTCATATTTTAGCTGCGTGTCTGAACCTGGGGTACATCTTGAAATTGCCATAGTGAGGGGAGAAGTGACAATATACCACTGTTTTTTTGCTAGTACCCCACTTTCATGCAAACCCACAGCCACAATTTTCCATCATAGCAACTTATGTTTCACACTCAAACAAGACATTGAACACCTCCAACTGAGTGTCAGCTAAATCAGCTAAAATCTTTACCCTCCAATCTAACATGGCTGGACAATCCCCGGAATGGACGATGAGATTCCCATTGAAACGTCAATTTATAGGGTACATTCCAGCTCAATGATAGAGGGCATCACCAATTATCACCAGGCAATGAGGCACTGCTGTATTGCCCATGAATCATCACGTGATGAATTGGGACATTCCTAAAAAAAACATGAACCATTCATTAAACCACATGGTTGATTCCTAAAATGAAGAAGTCCTAATTATGAATCAAAAATATACCCTTTGGGTGGACCACATGATAAAACTTCAGTCCTTCCACTGGCCACGTCAAACACCGCTGGCCTCATCAGCCTTGCCCTCCTTGGAGGCCCACAGCAACGCTGTTAAGCTGCCACGGTCGGTGGCCTCCAAGAATATCTGGGGAGGGTCAAGCCAGGAACTGGCTGATTCAATGTGATTCTGGTATATTCTGGTGCTATCCAAAGATGATGATCTCAGAAATTTCATGTCAAGTCCATTTTGAGCATTATCCAAGGGATGGAATGGAAATAACATGAAGTAAACGTATTGACCATATTGACATGATATGTGAAGCCATGTGAAAGCACCAAACAGGAATGGAATTGCCAACCTTGCCTTTGATACTCTGCACACATCCTGATAATCTCCCGCAAGGAACACATCGGTGGGAATTGATGTCTCAAGAACTATGTGGAACCATTGGATGAACAAAAAATGTCAGTTTTGCTTTGAAATCATCATTCCCTATTCTTGCTGGGTTTGTTCATGTTTGTTCACAAATATCATCCGTTCATCCGTTCATCAAACATGTCTGGAAAATCCAGGGCCGACCGACCGCCTCGATATCGGCTCTCCTGAGCGAACTTCCCGAAACGTCGCACCGTCAGCTCCGGCGGGAAATCCACCAGCTGGGTCACACATATTTGATGCCATCAAGATTTAGATGCCAAATCACACCAGGTCGACTTGCTTAAGGAACCAAACAATATATATATATATTATATATATAGGTTCCCCAAGTAATGGAATTCCCATTGGGAAAACAAAAAAACATCGTCTTCATCAAATCCAATGAGTTATGTTTGGTAACCACTCCGATCCAATTTGATATTTCTTGGTGCCCAAAATGATCCAATTTGGAGCCATCCCCAAACTTTTTTTCCCTCGAGCATCTGTTCCAGCAGAAACTGAAGCACTTCTCGCCTGCACCGTCAGGCGAGAAGGGAAGGTGTGGAAAACCTGCAGGTTGAACCAGGTGTGGAAAACCCACCATTTCTAGATCATTTTTCGGAACGGGAAACCATGGGTTTTCCATATCTGTTTACTGTTTACCGCAGAGTATATAAATTTGGGAGAATCATACATTGGAATCAACAAAAAAAACAACAAACCCACAGAGCATACCGCTTTCATTTCAGATGTTGGGGGGACCTGGGGAATGCTCCAAAGGTGTATTCACATCATCTTAGATGGAGAGTTCAGGTATGAACCCACAATAGTGGGAATACTATGGCTATCATAATCTATTATATAGCCATAGCCATGGTCACACCACTAGTTATGATACTATGGTAATAGATAGCCTGATAGCCATAATTATTATGGTAATAGATTAAGTTATACTATGGTCATAGCTATAGTTATGGAGCTATAGCTATGACCCATGGGGATTTTCACAACTGGAACTGGTCCAAGATACCCCCTGTTTTGGCCCTATTGATTGGTGCTACCCTCTGGTAAACGTTTACATAACTATGGAAAGATCCACCATATTTCATGGGAAAAAACACTGTCTATGGCCATTTTCAATAGCTATGTAACAAATTACCAGAGGGTACATCCAATACTAGGGCTATCCCTATTTCGATCAACCACTGATAAATCATCCCGGTTCTAGGGCTATACATTACCCAAACAAAAAAAACACTAAGCTGAGGATGGTTTGTTGCAGTTCTCCTATAATCATCCATTATTGGGTTTACCAAAAAAAACAACTATAATTCTTACAGTTATCCTATAGTTAGCCCATAATTCATATAATTATCCCACAGCCCATGATGATCCAATGATTACCCTAGGGTTTTCACTTTTTTTTTGGTGGAAAACCCATATGCTTTCCCGTTCCGAAAATGATCGACTCTGGTTGGTGGTTGAGCTACCCCTCTGAAAAATATGAGTTCGTCAGTTGGGATGATGACATTCCCATGATTATTCCCATATATTATGGAAAATAAACAATGTTTGAACCCACCAACCAGTTACTACTTTTCTGGGTTTTCCACAGCTAGCTTAGTTTACCGTAGACATGCCCCCCATGCCCCCCAGCCCGGATCGCCTCCCATTCAGTGCCGCCAGAGTCAGGACGGAGCGTCCAGCCGCGTCGCGGGCGCTGAGATCGGAAGGATCTGCCGAGAGCAAGGTACCTCGCTGGAAATCGCTCCAGGAGCTGGTGAAATGTGCGAAAATTCCTGGGATTTAGGGAGATATTCTGTGGGATTTACAAGAATTAGATACAATTTTCATGGGCAAATTTCATAGTATTCCTCGAAACATGGGAAATTTTCATAGGGAAAACAGAGCAGAAACCAATGGATTTCGGCCCAATGGCATTTTCCAAGGGAAAGTGACTACTTTCCTCCTGGGATGTGCGGCTCTGAGAGGGGCAGTTGGGGAAATGGTAGATACACATATAGTTTGTTAATATCCTGTATGTATACATAATACATATTATGTATCCATATATATATAAGGTTGCTTTATATACCAGCGAAGCCCGAGGCGTAGGAATTTCAACACCAATTTGAAAAGCGAACATTTTTTTTGAATTCTCACACTTCTCCGGGTTCACCGCAAAATTCTCACACCAACAGGAAATTCTCACACTTGTTTTTTTTTTTTTCTGTGTTTGAGGCGGTTCATCCCGAACAACAACACACACTTTTTTTAAAATGTTTTGTCACTCTTAGCATGGTCCTCAGGGGCCTACTCATCAAACATATCAACTGGATAAAACATGCTACCAAACTAGTTGCGATGGAGGCAGTTGTCATCGCAATATCCCAAAGCAGCTAATTATGCATGTGTTTGTCACGTTATCACTGACACTTGCACTTCCCAAGGGTCTCCATGTGTTTGGCATTTGGGAAATGTATTTGCGTTCCGTTCGATGGGGTCAAATTTCCTAAAAACTATGGTTTGGAAACAGGTTTTTTGATGAAGCAATCTGAAGCACCATGTTTTTAATGTTGATACAAGTTGGTTGAATACATACTTACTATACATGCATTTTCTCCGGGTTTTCTCGCGTTTTTTTCTCACACCATCTCCGGGAATTCTCGCTCGTTCTCCGGGTATTCTCGCACCTAGTCCGGGTGTGGAATTTCTCCGGCTTTATTTTTGAATTTCTCTGGGTCTAGTGGCTCCAATTGCCATGCGCAATTTCACCCAAGCAGCGGCAAAAAAAGTCTTGGAGACACCCTGCGTCCTCACCCTTTGAAAAAAAAAACACATTTTTCAATTGAATGATGCCTGCACCAGCAACTGCACCTGCCCCGTTTAGAAACTGCGTGGCCAAAGTGGTAGGCGTGCCCCCATCATTGCAAAAAAAACAAGTTCGGAAAAAAAAACATCCCCACAAGAACACCAGAACTGTGCCAAATAGAAATGGCTGGTTGCAAGAAGCAATGGAAGGTAAGTTCCTAAGCAAACATACCAGAAACAAATGTCAGAATACCCTGCAGGCATCTCAAGTTGAGCCATTGCCACCTTCAGAACGCCACAGGAACCCCAAAAATGCATGTCGGAACAAATTCTCACACCAAATTCAACAGGCGGAGGAATTCCAACACCAATAACAAAAACGAACATTTTTTGAAAAAACGTTGGATTTCCGGGTTTTTGGGCTTAGCTGGTACACATGCAAAAAGAGAGAGAGAGAGAGGTTCATAATATCGAAATATTTTGATTTTCATGTAATATAATCATGTTGTGTTACATATCATATGTCATGTATCCAGCGAAATATCAACAACGTAATACTTACTAATTGAGATAGTGTAGATATGTTTAATAATTTCTATATAGATATACGTATTCAGTAAGGTGGGCCGTTATGTTTCTTGGTTTAGTTTCATCCCTGCTATGATAATTGCCATAAACCATAGAAGTTGTGCCCACCGTAGCATAACTTGGCTATCATCAATCACAAGATCAATCCCAATTTTGCATGGTGAAATACAACTTTTCTTGGTGAAATCCCAATTTTCCCTGCATTTTTCCCCATGTTTTCATGGTGAAATCCCAAGTTTGGCGCACGACAGGTGGTGAGCTCACCGTCCCAGGCAGCCTTTGCCAAGGGAACCATACCTGGAGGTTCAATGGTCTCTGGCATCTTCAAGCCCAAACCAGTGTCTTGCGCCTGCCAGGGCAGATCATGGCAATCCACTGCGGATCCACTGGTTGATGCTGGTTTCAAGGCGAAGAAAGTTCAGGATCTTGATCCCAGTGGAAAATAGGAAATAGTCAAATACTTCAAAGCACCAAGCAGTTGTGGATCCTTTGGTATGTTTGAGCCAACCCCATTTTCCCATCGCCTTGCTCGTGACATAGGCCTTCCTGGGCTGGGCAGCTGACAAAACATGGATCTGGTATATCTGGTGTCCAAAGACCAGTGGAAACCCAGGCCAAACCTAGGTGACCCCCAAAAATCCCATGTATTTTTCACGGCAATTACCCAATGCAAATGACTATCTGGAGGTATTACACCCTTTTCAACCAAACCCATTTCTGTCCCCAACTTCACCATGAAACATTGACATTTCATGGACCTTTTTGTTCAGTCATGTCTACTTCATCTGTCAGTGCAGTACATGAATCCCTGTATTCAAAATCATCAACTCCGCTGATGAGTCTTGTGATGTTCAACGAACCATTCCTAGCACCAGTTTGGCCGAAAGGTTGCAGGATTCCAAGGGCAGGTAATGGATGAACCCCAGTATATATATATATGTATATATATATAATTATATTTATATATATATTGTTATATATAACACCCCCACACACATATATATATATATAATATTTCTTTCCTATAAAAAAAACAGCCCCGTATTCTAAATCAATCCATTGATTTCTAGTATAACACTACAATTATATATGGCCTTGAGTTAAACTCCTGCTACCCTTCTGTTCTATTTATGGGTACACATCAAGTCATACCGGTATCAAGTCAAGTCATAGCAGTAGGTTCTGCGCACAAAAATCATGCATCCTGATGTATGAATCATTAATTCATCTGTTGTTTCTCCATTCTTTTTCTCCATGTTTCTCAATGTTCCTTCAATTTTTTTTGTGATACCAAAGCCCAATTCTTTTGTCGGGTGGCTTTTTGAGAAAGGCCTGGAACTTTGGAGAGTTCACGCCTCGGGACGGTTGAAAAGTGTCCGAAAATGCTTAGTATACCTCCAATTTTTGGCCAATTTAGTGGGCATCTTTGAAAAGTCATTAAACGTCTGAATTGGAATCAACCCATTTACAGGATGGAACTCAAAAAGAAACGAAACCCTCGACCCCACTTGGCGTTTGTCAGATACTACAACTATTCAGACATGCTGATAAAACCTCCATCTTCGGAATACAGATAACTTAATTGTAGTCTCATGTGAGAGATTCACAGTAAGAAAAAACAGGTCCACAATTTGTGGTTCATGTCTCTTTTTTTGTAGTAGACCCAATGCCATAAATGATCCCCAAAATCACATAAACCATCCCTTAAAGGTAGGTTTTTTCGTTCATGATTGGGATTTACCACATTCCCATAATTAGTAAGTACCATTATCGTACATAGACCACTATAACATATTATGCTTTAGTTCATGATTGGGATTTATCAACCATCCCCATTCTAGCAAACCACTATTATAATGATTTAGTTCATTATTGGGATTTACCACATAGCAAACAAACATAAATAAACTTACCCTCTGGTAAACTAACATAACTATGGAAAGATCCACCATTTTCAATGGGTAAATCCACTATAAATGGTCATTTTCAATAGCTATGTAACAAATTACCAGAGGGTACCATACTTGGGGACGTTACCACCGATGGTCCTTAACCTTCAATGGGTGGATGACTTGGGATACCATTCTGATTCCCCGGTGCCAAGGCTCTGTAGATGGTCATGGCGACCTGGACAACGGCAAATGGATATGACATAGTGTGACAAACACATGTGTCTGAATATATATTATACATATAATATAAATAGTATTATAATATAACATAATATATATATATGATTGTATTATATATATATTATACATTGGTACAGGCGCATCCATAGTAAGTGGTAAGTGTAAGTAGTGTAAGGTTTTCTCAATCATCATTCTGTTAGTGGTACCTTCTCCATCAGACAAATCTCAGAAACTCGAGCCTGTGTTGGTCCCAGATCCACATCAATTGCGTTGAAGGGCTGTTGGCTTTGGCATGTTTTGGCTGCCGTGTTTAGAACACCTGTCTCCCACCAGGATTGCTGCTTTCATCATCTTTCATCTAACCTTGGAGGCTATGCAGTGCACAATCCGATTTCTGATTTCAGGCGTGATTCTTTTGCAGAAGTGCCAGGCATAGACATGCATAGACTATGCCTGGGACGATGGTGGCTGTCAATGTCTGAGGCGACGCTAATGCATTCTGCCGTTCCGACTGGCTGAGCTGCATTATCCAACAAATGGGTTTGTCTGAAAATAGGGTATATTCCCAATGAAATAGCCATTTAATAGGGATAATGATCAGCAAAACCATTGGGTTTAGGGGTTTTCTCTATTTTCAGACACACCCAATGCGACTTCCGGATGTTCCACTTTGAATGGCTACACAGCTGCAGTTCACTGTCCACCTTTTCTCGCACCAAAGTGACAGTGTCACAACTGCTTGAGGCAACCTGCGTCCAAGATTCCACATGGCTTCGTTAGGTGAGTGAACAAAAATGGGACCTTACCAATAAGTTAAAATAGTTAAATGGTGATTTTGACAGCAAAAATATGCAACCATGATGATAAACCATGTGTTGTGGGGTACAGTAGCCTGTTTTCAAAACAACTCCAAATCCGACAACCAGCATTTTGCAAAGCTGCAAGAGACAGCAGATTTTCTCCCATACTTCCTATCCGACAAACAGCAATGCAGCAAGAGACAGCAGATTTTCTTTCGTGCTGCGCTTGCGACAACAAGCAGCTGTCTGGGTTCCTTTTGGGTTCAACCCTGGACCCCGGCTACCGCTTGCCATAGTCACAGGTCAAACGTGCAGCCACAAACAGATGGAGTACAGATGGATCACAGATGGATCTGGCAAACTGTGACCGTTGTGACCCACCTCTGCGGCAAATCAACCCAAACACCTGCTGTGAGTCTGGGTCCATTTCCAATCTTCCTGTGCCCTTTTAACGAACGGCCTTGGGACCTGGGGTTTGGAAGGCCTGGAAAAATCTGATCGCCACACTTTAAAGCAGGGACTGGTTCAGAGTCCAAGGTGAATTAATTCATCCACAGCCCCTTGAGGACTCCTTTGTTCAATCTTCAATCAAATCCTCCAAAAAAGATCCTTCTGGTTGAGAAACACATAGAAACTCTTAGACTCTGAAGGAACCCTAAAAACAGCAATTACGACGCTTGGTCGTTCCATGAGAAGGAGGGACTATTCCTCGTCGGGTTGGTGCCCGTGCTGCCCTCCCCAATAAGCATCATCCCTGGTGATCCTTCTCTGCATCAAAGGAGATAAAAATCGCCCGAAAGCTGCACCCTGCAGGTGAAAAATGACAGACATCTGGTGAAATCCAACTTTTTTCAAGGCCACTATCATCCATGACGCCCCACAAGGAGCACCACTGAAAAATCGTCGCGTTGATTTATACATGCTTTCATGGAGGGTTACTGGTGCAGTATTCAGGAAATCGTTCCATATATGTTCAAAAGGGAGTCCACTGCTTGTCACAGGGTTCCCTTTTTAGCCTTCCTCCATCAGCGCTGTCGGCACAAGCCACAAAGGGCTTGGAGTTTTGACCATGGTCCCCACTTCTGAAAGAACACACGTGTATACAACTGTAGGCTTTATAGACCTTTCTTCCCATGATTTCAAACATGAGGACCTGTTCTCAGCATGGGACGCATGGTCGTTCTTGGGACTCGACACGTCACACGCAAACCGGAATGGTGCGAGTTGGTTCCCTGCCAAAGGAAGAGCCCGTGTTGTTCACACATTTCAGAAACCCAGGAGCGACATAAAAGCCCAGTGTACCTTTCAGTTTTGATGTACAAATGCATCATAGATATAGTATGTAAATAAGATATACATATTCCATAATGTAGTCTGGACATCTTAAATATACTCCCATGGTACTGATGGACATGCCAAACCAATAAGGAACATACCTGAGCAACTAGAACAACCGTTCAACAACCCGAGATATCCCAGGTCCGTACACAAAATTATCTGAGGTAGCACACTGGTTGGCTGCCAAGCTCATAACACACACCCAAACGTGCGTGCCGAAACACTGGGTGAGTTGGCACGCTGGCGCGTGGTCAAGAATTCACGTGAGCTGCCATCCAAAAAAGGCTTCAACGAAGCATGACACGCGTCGTGTTGCACCCTCTTTCCAGGAGGAGCGTGCCTTATGCAACTTGGATTGAAAGCCCTTTAGGAGAAATTCAAATGTCATAGCACCTGTCTGGGGCAGCTGGTATTTCACTGAGTTGTCCAGGAAGAACCGAAGCTGCCTTGAAATTGGTTGTGACATGTTGCGACGCCACTGTGCACTGTTCGGATCTGGAAGGATCCAATTAGCCTCCGGATCAGTCCGTCCCAGTTGGCAACTGGAACTGGGGCTCGCCTCACCAATCTTTACTTCACCACAGCAGTTTGAGGCTCGTCTGGTTTGCCAGACCTCTGCCGAAAGTGATCGCATATAATCTTTGAACAGATCGCATCCGCCCCTCGGTCTGCAGCCAACATCTTCAGGGTCTCCTTGTGAACACAGACAAACAAACCTTCGTCTTATGTTTTTGTTTTCTCCAGCTTTCTTTATATTATATATCTTATCGTTATTTTTCTTTCTTATCTGTCTGACCCTGAAGCCCAGCACTTAGCACTTGGCAGTGTTGAAATCGCCGGCGACCCAACGGGGGTGAATTGCTGAAAGTTTCATGCAAGAAGACGACTTGCTGAATTTCTTGAAAGTCACAGCCCAACTGACTCTCTGCGGAAGATGCCCCACTGAGGGACAAAAAACTCCGAGACCCATGCGGCTATATACATGATGCATAAACTATTATACGTAATCTCAACAAATATCATAAATTGCAATATATAATATCGGGCCAATACACAAATCATGAAACAGGTGATATGTCCGGTCCTTGGCATGTTGTGTGGCAAACTGAAAAACAAAATAAAGTAGTGGCGGCGCTCCATGCATGGATATGCACAGACACATTTCACTTGGCACCTGAGTGGCAATCCGACATCTGTCATCCAAAGGTTTTCGGACAGAAGAGCCCCTACCCGACTGTTGAACACAAACCACAGCTAAGTCCAATCAAGTTTGCTATTTCACATTCAACATGCAAGATGTTCATTTTATACTCTATGTCCACTTGAATTCCCAAAGCTAGTATTTCAAAATCTGCGTATAATTATATATTTCTGTGTTGATTGTGTTGTGTTCTCTTCAAGTGTTCATTCATCCAAGAATTGCGTATCCCGCAATTCTACCATCCAGTTCTTATCATCAAAAAACCGTCCTGCTGGTGGACGTTGGGCTGCATTGGGCTGCTGAGACTTTACAAGGAGATGCGTGAAACACACCTGACCCTTGATCTGCTTGCCATCCGGCCCCTGCTGTTCATGCGAGACCGACTGTTCGACCTGCTTCCAAGCCAGCTCAACCTGGGCGAAAAAAAAGGGTTTGTGTTGGCAATGGATATGAACGGGATTCTAAAAGCCAGTTTATGATTTTATTAGGGAGTTTCATGGGTACCAAATGGGGATTTTTTCTATGATATACTATGGGGGATGTCTAACCAACACGATGGTCTGGTTGGTGGTTTCAACCCCTCCAAAAATATTAGTCAGTTGGGATGATTTTTCCCAATACATGGAAAAAACAAGGTGGGCCAGAGAACCCAAAAGCAAGACGGCACACAGCACGCCTTTTCTTGAAAATCTTGGGGTGTGGCCAGCTGTGCTCTGCACGAAATCGACGTAAGATCTTTACTTAAACATCGTGCGCACTGATGGTATCAGGGGCCACGATTCACCACAGCATGCTGTGTCAGCTACGCCTACAGTCTTCTAGTCGCTATTTCTGTTAATGTAATTAACTCTATCCCATCTGTCTAGTCGCTATCTATTTCTGCGTTCTCGTTTAGTTTGCTTCGCCGCAGAGGGAGCGAGCACGAAGCGTGGACGGACAGAACGAAATGAAAATTAAACGACAGAGGGAGCTGACCAAAAGAGCATGAAAACGAAGATATATATGAAGGTGACAGATGGCAAATGATCATGAAAAATGAGACATGATAAAAGATGGGTAAAGACTTCTCTGTACAAAAGCTTCTTTGCATAAAAGCTTCTGCAAGTAAAAGCTTCTGTGGGCAAGAACTTCTCTGTGTAAAGGTTTTTGGTGTAAAAGCTCTTGTGTGTAAAATATTCTGTGTAAAACGCGCTCTGTGTGTAAAAGTTTCTGTTTGCGAAAGTTTCTTTGCGTACCAGCTTCTGTCTGTAAAAGCTCCTCTGTGTTAAGGTTTTGTTTGTGTAAAGTTTCTGTGTGCAAAAGCTTCTCTGTGTAAAAGACTTCTCTGTGTCAAAGCCTCTGAGTGTACAAGCTTCTCTGTGTAAAAGTTCCTCTGTGTAAAAGCTCCTCTGTGAAAAAGCCGCTCTGTGTAAAAGGCTTCTGTGTGTAAAAGCCTCTGTGTGTGCAAGCTTCTCTGTGTCAAGACTTCTTTGTGTAAAGATTTCTCTGTGTAAAAACTACTCTGTGTAAACGCTTCCGTGTAAACTCTTTCCTGTGTAAACGCCTCCGTGTGTAAAGACTTCTCTGTGTAAACCCGTCTGTGTGTAAAAGCTCCTTTGTTTAAAGGTTTTTTTGTGTTAAAAGCTTCTGTGTGTAAAACCTTCGTAAACGTTTCTGTGTGTAAAAGCTTCTGTGTGTAAAGGTTTCTGTGTAAAAGCTTCTGTGTATCAAAAAAACCTTATGTAAAAGCTTCTGTGTAAAAAAGCCCCCCGTGTATGCAAGCTTCGCTGCGTAAAAGCTGCTCTGTGTAAAAAATCTGTGCGCCGTAAAGTTGTCTGTTTGTAAAACCTCCTGTGTGTGTGTGAAAGCGTCTGTGTGTACAAGTTTCTGTGTGCAAAAGCTCCTCTGTGCAAAGACTTCTCTGTGTACAAAGCTTCTGTGTGTGAAAGTTTCTGTGTGTAAAAGCTTTCCTGTGTAAAAGTTTTCTTGTGCAAAAGCTCCTGTGTGAAAAACTTCTCTGTGTAAAGGCTTTTTTGTGTAAAA